AAGTTTCGCATCGCAAGGCGTCACCACGCGTTCTGTCAGTGAGGACAGAATTTCGCACAATGGAAGCCGAAAATATTGAATTATTATTAAATTTGATTCGAAATTATTCCGAATTATATTGTCAAGTCTTTCTTTTGTTGAAATAGCCATCCTGTAGTTTGTATTTTTCTATTTTAATATGAGGTTCAAGAAGATTGTGTAAATATTCAAATGTTTCCGGCTTCATTCTGAAATATGTATGGAAACGATCTTCATGTGATTCTTTAATACCGAAGCCAGCAACAACAATTCTTCCTCTTCAGAATCTGAAAGCGACGACTGGGACGACTCAGATGACATTCTGAAACGACGTCTGCACCTACAGCCCACGAAAGCTACAATGACATTTCATTGCGAAAAAACTGCAGTGTACTAACGTTCCGCAGATATTTCGCTACCGCAATTATTTCGTAAAGACTCGCAGCCGCATACGAACGCGTAGGTGTACTAAAGGCGTAATTCCTTAGCGATAAACTTGAAAATCTGTTGAAGAAATTTGATAGATTATTTTTATTAGTAGCTTGATGTGCTGGCGTCTGTACCATAATATTGGGTGCTGTAGAAACTGTTACTAGACCTACTCGACTCGCTGTTAGTTTTAATTTAACCTACATGATGTTTATATAATTTTGTTAGCTATAATTTTAAGCACATACCAACCTACGAGTACTAACATTAGATCTGCACATTAGACATAAACAAGCATAACATATTATTATAGGTAGATACCTACAAGGTATGAACTTTGCTATAAAGTTATTCTAGGTAAATTTTATCACATGGGATGGTGGGAACAGATTTGTGAGTATTAACACGCTACTTAATAAATTGTTGAAATATAATAAGTACTTACCTACCTAATCAATACAATACGTTTCAGGGTGCTTTCAGACGAGCGGCACGTTGCCAACTGCAGCCCTTAGTTTAGTGTTAGGATATGTGATACCTACGGTTTTGATACTGGGGAACGTTTCTCAAAATCGGGATTGAAACCAAATACAGTAGGTATTTGATTTAATAACGCCCAAATCTCAGTTTGTCTTAGCTGCAAGACGCAAGATTCTTGCAGGCTTAAGTATTGTCTTGCTCAAGTCTTGCAGGGTTCAGTCTTGGTATTGGTCTTGCTATAATAAGGCGGTCTTGGTATTGGTCTTGGTCTTGCGGAAACGCAAGAACAAGACCAAGACTGCAAGACCAAGACCGATTTTGGGCAACACTAAGTTAAACCCATACACATTTTGTTTGAAAATTATCTAAGACGTCGGTGTGATGATTGTATACAATTTTTTGTTAAAGGATGATTATACGAATAAAACCTTTGTAAGACCAATTACCTATCATCACATGTGTGCGTCGGCGACCCGCATTTTGAGAGTCCACACAAAAGACTTGTACGACATTGAGCTACAGACGCTTTGTTTGTAGGTAATTTAAGCTCCAAAAGTAGGTAATTAGAACAAACTCAGTACCTAGACTGATACAGTTAGTCGCGGTCCTGACTCATCAATGCCAAATTATTGGTGTTAACCCAAATTATCCAAAACATTTGCTCATTGTCATTCAATGTTTCCAACATTGTAATAATATTTAATGCTTTCATCGAATAAAACTGTCTCTTACGAGTTGTGTTATTGCTGCTTCGATAATTGTTATAGTAATTATACTTTTTAATGATTATTATTATCCATAAAACGAAGCAATAGTTTATGAAGATTTATTTGTGCGATGATACAGTAATTTATCGTTTATTGCTATTCTTGTTTTTTTTTTAAATGGCCCGTGTACGATAAAGAATGCTTGTAAGAGCTAGCCCACTAATGATATAAAACACTTAAATTCTTATAAGTTCTCATATATTTTTTAATTATTGAATGTGAAGGTGGACGAATACAACTTGCTTTTATATATTACTAGAAGAACGTCCCGGCTTCGCTCTCGCTTTATTGTAGACATTGATATGTTCTTTAATATTTTGGAAAAAAAAATTGTTCTATCATCAATAGTTTTAAATATATATATATATATATATATATATTTAAGATATTTTAAAGTCTTTTTTTTAAACTTTGGATAACATTATTGTAGTTTCAATAGATATCCTTATTTTCTTGCAATTAAAATAGCCTTTATAAATCAGTAATATTGAAGCATTCAAATGGTGGTATTTTTTTTAAATCGGTCCAGTACTTTTTGAGCCATTTCGTTACAAACACACTTACATACAAATCTTTCCTCTTTATAATTTTTTTTAATTTTTTTTATAAATAATACATATTCTACTCCCCTGCCATAGTGTCCAGGGACTTTTTCTATCTCTAAACTTCACATCACACGTCTCGCGAAATACGCCCCGGCTACATCGGTAATATTTTTGTTTACAATATTCATCGGCGAGCCGGGGTGCAATTCCTCGCGAGACCCGTTCTTTCAGTTTTGTTTGCCGCCTTAATATATTTAACAATTTAACGAAAAAATCTTTATAATATTAGTATAGACTAGTTATGATAATAGTATTGTTGTCTTGAGTCATAGACTTTGTTTCGCTAATACATGCATTACATACGACGTGTCCGACGCGATAGCAATGACTTTGAACCTCTCCTTCTAGACCTCATTTACATAAAGTGAAATAAATAAAACGTTGCAATCTACGAGCCTCCGAGACTTGTTTAACGGCCCGATATGACATTTTATCGATAATGTATGCAAAAGGCATAGTTGTGTTATGTATACGTGATCAACTCACTCGTTTAATGCTCTAAATAAAGGCAAAACCGTGGCAGGTTAGTTGATTATGCTAATTGGTTCATTTGCTACCTTTTCAAGCATATAATAGGATTTAGGTATCAATTTACATGACTCAATATGCAACTGTACTGTTATTTTACGAACGTAATGCGCACGCATAATGAGGGAAGCGATCGTGCTTAGAGGACAATCTGTTTCATATTGGCGAGAGGTTCTAAAGAGAGTAATTAAAGCTCCGGTCGTTGATATTTCCAATCAGTTATCTTAAAGGGTAGGGCAAGTAGTAAGTAAACAAGATTTCCCTTTATGGATAGGCAATGCATCGACCGCCCACGTATTGTTCTGAAATTGATGGAGGCGTTCCGCTAAAACTGCGTCTTTCGGTAATTCGCGTACGCGGAAGTACTTACTCGCTTCTGGTTCATTTTATATTGGCTTGTTAATCATAAAGGGAACGTAATTGTTATGAATTATTCACCTTTCGTCCGTGAGTGGTCAATTTGTATGGGTATATTAATTGTTATAATTTCGTCTAGATGTGATATAAAAACACTAAGTTTTGTTAACATTGTTAATAAACTCTCACCAGCTCTCTATGTTTACTCTTTACTCTTAATCCGTCCTGAATGTTTAATTGAAAGGTTAAGCTAAAACTGTTTAATATATAATTAAACTAGCGACCCGCCCCGGCTTCGCACGGGTGCAAACAACAATAACAAAATTATGTTATTGTGTAATATCCATAGACATATTATATACCTACCATCGCGGAGTTTTCTGTAGACCTTTTCAATGTGTGCAATACTTAGTTATTATTTTGATAAATCTCGTAGGGTTTAGCCTGCGTTTGCAATGTAAGCGGAAAAAATGTAATTATTTATGAAATTACATTAGAAACCTCAAAAATAACAGTATATATCCACTATTTAACGGATGTTATTACACATACAAACCTTCATCTTCAATCACTCTATCTATTAAAAAAAACCGCATCAAAATCCGTTGCGTAGTTTTAAAGATTTAAGCATACATAGGGATATAGGGACAGAGAAAGCGACTTTGTTTTATACTTTGTAGTGATTACAAATTACTGACGTTTAACGTTTTACTGTGAACTAGAAAATGACGCTGAGTACTTATTTTTTACACCTGGAATCATTGTTACATACTAATCTAGTAGTTTGCGTAATCGTAACATAATTTGGTAGTGCGTAAAGCGTGTTTACTTTTGTTTTCAAACGTCTTTCGAGGCTGACGTGACCTTGATTTTAATCCAGTGTGGCTGCACATTGTCTGCAGCCGTTTGTCATCGGACGTGACATGATTTCCCTTTTTATCAGAGTAATATTAATAAGCGAAATTCACCTTTGCACCTGGACGTGATTCCTCTAGCTTGTAACTTATAATGATATAGAATGACGTAAAAGGAAGTGATCGCGAGCCTCTTCCGTTTATCGCTAATAATGACTTCTGCTTAACATATAAAGGCTCGCTCAATTACTCATACAGTAGCTTTTATCGTGTCATTAATTTTCTTAAATAAATTTGTCTAAGGTGTAGGAATATGTTAATAATAGATAGATAAACAAGCTTTAACTGGATATGCAAGTTTCCATATTTGTCACAATTTCTTGTTTTCTTTGCTTTGTTTATTGTAAAATAAAAATGATTTAAAATCAGAGTTTCTCAATTTGACATTAATTTTTTGTAAATCTATTAGTTCCTTTTGTTTATGGAACAGTATTTTACAGGTGTTACGATATTATAGTATTGTTTAACAAATTTATTTGAAACAGAAGATTCATATATCGTATTATGGAAGATTCATATTAATTGTATTTTTCTTCAAGATTCAAGATATGATAACGCACCTGTTCATAGAACGCAGGTGCTAATTACGCTTATAACTGATAGGGTAATGACCATGCAGTAATAGGGATCTTATTACTAATGGAATTAATTGCTTAACCTATTCTTTTTTATTTACTTAACGGTATACGTATTTTTTTCTTCAATATACTACTCATCAGATAATTAGCTTTAATGGTATGTTATTCATAAAATTACCAGGAAGATCCCTCGAGGATCCTCAATTTCTGGGTCAATATGACGAAATAATTATGAATCAACATGGTTTTTTGCTGATTTCTAATGGTGCGAAATTAGTGCTGACCGCCTACACATAACTTTTTATCACTAATGGAAGCCTTTCGATGTGCTCCCAAAACCTGAGAATATCAATTATAGGAAATGTCTGCAAGAAATTGCATGGCCAGTGGTATGTAGTGCACACCTACACGTCTTTGAGTCTTAATGTACCTACTACTACTTGTAAGTTGACAGTATTATGCCGTTTTGCCTCTTAACTCGGTCATAAATAAAACTTTTTTCAGTTTATTATAAGTTGGTCCTATTTACTCTTGGTTTGTTTGGAGATAGCAGACTGCGTGATTCACTCGCAGGATCTTTGTTGTTCTTCTCGGAAGCGCAACGGGTGAACATTCTGTGGGAAAGGTATTTTAATACTGCTCTCGGACTGTTTTCTCTTGCCCTAGTTACACTTTAAAGATAAATGGATATTAAACTTTTAATTTTGTTATCTTCGAAAGTTAGAGCACACGGCTTCATCATATGTGTATAGATAGGAAACCAAAGGGAAAACTAGCGATTGTGTCTAGATTTGTATATATCGTTTCGTTCTTTTTTTTTCGTTATAGTGTTATGTGTATTATTAGGTTGACATTGAAATTACTTAGTTGTAAACGAAATAAATCATTAAGCATAGTTCCGTAATGTAGACAAAGCGAGGTGATTGACACAGGACATTAATTGCGTGAAAATTGTTACAATGCCTAGCGGTCAAATCAAACGGCATGATGAATCTAAAATCAAGTGATGTACGTGTTATATTTGGTAGCTATACATATGAATTTTGACCTCGATGATTAACGTTAACCGTTACTCGTAACTCGGTTATTATTGTGTTAACTTTTGCAATACATGAACATCTCCACCTAATGCTAATGTACCCTAATTACCGAGAAACTTATTTGTGCCCAAAAAACTAATTTGCTTTATACAACTGTGGATCCTAATTGTATTTTTCCTCTAAACCCGGGAAGTCCATATAGAAGTTTGAACATTTGGTTCATATTCAAGTCGTGTTTGACGGATCAGGTTTGAGTTCCATTTACGGAATAGAATTAGTTCCATGCGGTCATAACAGCTAACATTATGCGGATATAATATTATTTCGACTGATATTATTGAAGTTTTTTGCTCCACTAATCGGGCAGTCTTTCCATTTATAGATAGAATTTTGTTTGTAATTTGTAACGAGAATTATAGAGATCCGTTCCACGGTTGATAAAAGAATAGAACAAAGCGCTTCGTTTATTTTCGTAACCAATTTCTTATTTCACCTAGCTTTCCTCCAATCTTTAGACAAAGAACAAAGCAATAAAGCAATGACGTCCGCCAGTCTGACCGATTTTTCTTTCGTTGGTCTTGACGGCCCAGTAATGAACATTTGGGTCATTGGACCTCGTTTGTTGGTTGCTTACCGCCTCCGGTGTGTTTTTTGCTACAATTGAATGACTCGACTCGACTTGGCGTATCATGTCTTGACATAGTCACTTAAGTTATTGTTATTCAAGCTTTAGAGCTCATTGTACAACATAACAGTTTGTTTTTGACTAAGTCGTAGGTGCATCTGTACTTTTCACTTCGGTGTCCTTTTTTAAATTGAAAAGCCTTGCAAACGCAATTGCAATATTTCTCAGTATAGAGTAAATATGTTAATAGCCTAACAATGGTTTGACAATGTGTGAAAATTGAGAACATGACGAATTATTACAAATTATAACGGTTGTGTCGGTACTTTTGACGTTGATTCAGAACTCATGTCCTAATTGATTTAGTACCTCGTTGCGCAACTTTTGGGTCAGCGTTTGAAAAAAAACGAAAGGATAAGAATCCGTTAAACGAACTCATAACTTCATGACGCATGTGAGAATTATTGTATTGTTTAAATTTTACTTGAGAAATTATTGCTTTGTAGATCAGTGGGTAACATTTAATGTGTTTTTGAATTAACTATGCCACGGGCCATGTATACGTGGAACTTAAGCCTTTTCGCTGCACTTCATTTATTTTTTTATTTTGTAAACCTATAAATTCTCCGCTTGGGTGAGCCATCACTTTGTGGAGGTGGTGAATATCTATTTACGCTGTTATATAGGTCACAGGCGTTGCACTTTATGCCTACAGGGGAGTAAAATCATAAAAGCGTGTAATCGTTGGCAGTGACATACATCACCATTGAAATAGCAATAATTTCATCGCCTAGACATTTTTAGTCATAGGTATATTTAACGATTATTCGAAAAGACAGTGAAAAACTTTAGAACTACGTTGACGTGGTTAGTAATCAGTCATGGAGTTTTTCAGAAGAAAAATCTGAATTTGAATCGATTTAGGTGAAGAATATAGAAATCAATAGAAACTGTATTTGTGGTGATACTCGCTGATTGTAAAAACCTAATATTAACACATGTTTTAATATCTCTCAAATCTTTGTTGATCAAAATGATCTACATTTTGATCTTCATATCATACGTAGGTAGTTTTAATTTATGTTTATGTTCCGAAGATCAATCAATTAATTTTAAGTATTGTTTTGGTAGTTAACTTTCACTGGTATGATTACAAATTTATGACGTCTTTGTCCTACGCCATATGTTTAAAATATTTATTTCCAAAGATAGCTCCGGTTATGTTTGTGTTTATGTGCAACGATTTGGAAGAAATCTTTTATATTATCTTGTGAATGTAGGATAATGTAGGTTTGTCTTACAATAAAGGTGGTATTAGAATTTCGAGTAAAATACATGAGTATTATTACCACAGACATTGGATACCCGGTATGAGGAAACACTGAAACGCTTTGTATTGTGTAAACTGGATATTGCGAATTACCTCGATAACCGACATTAGGATTTATTTACGACCAACTATGTACATATTAACAAAAACAACAATACAATCGAATTAATTTGTATTCACTTAAGGTGTTAACATTTTCTAATAATGCCCCAGATGCATAATATTAATATGATAATATGTACGTTTGTTCGAAATATTTGACCTTCTGTCTTGCCTTAATTTTTTGATGAATTTCTCTAATAATCATTTTGTTTGTTTCAGGTAAACATGCAGCTCAATCATTTGCTTATATTATATTTTGAGGTGAGGTTTCAACATTCAGGTGCCGTATAAAATTAAAAGTTACTTAATTTATTCTCATATGTTTAATTAACACAATGAAATGCTTCACGAACGTTTAGAAAATGTAAAGACAAAGTGAAATTCGTTCATTATCATTCCGGCAAGATTTCTTCAGCGTTAACACGAAAAGTGGATTTCATTTGACAATGAGCGAGCACGAACTATGCCGATTCGTATAGGAATTCAGTCCTTGCTAGTCCTGTTAGTGCCTGTGGGGTTAGAAATGTGAGCAGAGCGGTTACAGTCGAAACTGGCTTAGTTGGCGAGGCGAAGGTCAGTGCTCCTGCGATTCCGGCCGTAGTGCTCCGCGATAGAGTCAGTTATAGTGGGCAGGCTAGCGCTAGAGTCGAGAGAGGTAGCGGGGGTCCTATCGCCGTGCGTTCCTCCCTTCAGTCAGTTCACTCGCAGCGGTGCACGCACACCGCACGCAGTTCTCGCGCGCGCAACGAGAAGGTATTCACGTAGCCGCAATGCTCTTGCGGTGGTCGCTCTTGTACTCGCTTCCGGTCGCTTTACAACAATATCAGTAGAAGTTAATATAAGTTCGGATCGCGGTTAATCAGTGTTGCTGCAGTGTTTTTCCTAGTGTCGATTTTTTTAAAGAAGTTTTAACTTAATGATGAAAACATGTTGAACTAATTTTCTGTCTTTATATTTGATAAAACATTGCCTCGATATGTGTGCAAACAAGGGATTGTGTTATCTCAATTAAATATTTGTTTGCCTTTTAAAATAATAATATGTATTAAATGTAAGGAAACAATTAAACGTTATCGAATTGTTTTTGTTAGTTCATTGAATGTATTTATTTTGAAGCTTGCATTTTTGCTGTAATCGGATTTATAAAAATATATATGAAATGACGCTAAACCAAAAGATATATAAAATTAATTCGCGGTGTAAGCCTGTAATGGAAATTTGAGATCGAGTTGTAGATCAAAGTCAAGAGTTGTACTGCTAAGTTAGATGTAAAAGCAATGACCCCTTGAGCCTTGTGCAGTAGTTCTAGCGAGGATGTATCGGCTGCTGGCCATATGGCAGCTCTGTGACTACCCATATTAGGGACGCCACCAAGGTGACACTTGTTGCACTTATACGGTATTAATGCTCCACATAGCAAGCTGCTGTTATAAACTTTTCAATAATAACGCCAAATAGGACAGCTGTCTTTCACCCTGTAAATAAGTATTGTAACATTGAATCATTCTCGTTGAACATACGCAATTATGTAGGCAATACAAACGTGACTAGTAACATAACTGCATACGAGATGTGGTAGGCGAGTCGTTTGCGTTGCATTATGCAAGCTGCAAGCAGGACTGGGCGGTTCGTTGACCAGTGCGTTGTCCCGCCACGCCGCCGCCCACCGCGAAGGTCGCGGCCCATTACTGACACAATCCCATGTTTGTAGCTGACATTAAATTCACCAACTGATAACCGCGTCACGCTCCTTTGGACTTAACTGTTTACTTTTATGTTTGCTCGTTCGACATGTTTTCAATCTGTGTTATCTAATTTCAGGTAGAGTCGATATGTGTTTAGTGTGCTCGTTAAAACAACGACATTTGTGAGCAATACGTATAAGTACATAATTTAACTAATAGTGAAAATTTTGATCTCAACATGGTGACTTCGAGAATACCAGCCTATTCTCTCAATTCGGAGTTCAACAGGGAGTTCAGAAGTTTTCGCATAACGCGAGCCACACCTCGGTCGACCCTCTATGCCCCAGCCATAGTTCCGATTCACGAGTACCCCAGGGTGAGCGTGCACGAACGAAGAGAGGCCCTTAAAGCCGCGCTAGCTAAAGCCTGGTCTTCAAAAAGCAACGATAAAAAGAAACATGACACATGGACTGCTCCTAGCGAACAAAGCAGGGCCGGCATAACCGCCGCCGATTTTATTACAAAACCTCCGTATAAAAACGGCGTTAATAATGAAGAGGTTTCGCGTGTTGCACTTGTCAGACATGAATTTGAAAGCAAAGAAGCAGAACGTGCAGCATTGAGCAGAATAGAAAACGTCCAGCCTGCCAGTTTTACTTATGGCCGATATAATGGAAACGGTGTCGATATTAAGGAAACATTAAAGAATAACTGTGATAAAGGATTGCATAAGGATTTAAGTTTTAGCGATTATCTAAACAATGTTCCTAAATGTAAAACTAGCTTCGAAAGTAATTTTGTCAAAAATAGCAAGGACGAACGTTACACTAAACGAAACGGAGACGATGTCACTATACGAGATGAAGACAATAATGTAAACGTCGAATACACAAGTACAAACGGAGAAATGTACGATGGTATGAAATATTATCGAATCGCGAAAGGTACTGAATCAGTGCAATATAAGAGTTACGGTAAAGCCGAGACCGTTAAGAGTAAATTGCTCAGCACAGATGGTCCAAAAAGCGTAACGTCTTGCAACGGCGAGAAATTAAACGGGTACAGTGGTGCGGAACGACGAAACAGTGCCCAGCGATCGCTTACTAGCGGCCCCAAATCCGTTGTAGACCAGCGATTAGCAGAACGCCTGGAAGTTAAGGTAGCTGAGCTGCCCGCTCTCTACCTCAGCGTTGCCTCTTGGACGCCCAAATCAGCCGCTTTCCAGAAGAGTATGCGCGAGCACGAGTGGAGCGTATCGTATGTACACACGGAGATATGGTTTTTCCTTTTACTAACACACTCCTTCCATTGGTTTACGAGCAAAATCAGTCTTAAATACGGTTCATACACAGCAATCACGGAGTGTTTCTGTTTATTGCACGTATCAAACAGTGGTTGTCATTAAACTAACAACCAAGTTTACAGCTGCGTAGATATTCAGGCCAAATGTAATAACGTTTCCAAATACAATGGAAGTTATCGTATCATTGTTATACCTTCATTAAATAGATATCTATTTACATACACTGATTACGAATACGATTATGGTAATCTATTTAATATTTTTAATTTGTCGAATTAATGTGGCACTAATTGGTTTCGTGATGTGTTTTTGTGACACGAATAGCATAACCTAACAAACAAATATAATTATTATTTACAATCTGTCCCGTCGTTGTATATATGCAAATCAGTTACGGTAATATATGTACATGTAAGTGATCTATGAATATGAAAGGTTTATAACATTGTTTTTGCGACTATTGTTTTTTTTTTTTTTTTAACGGTAATTATAACGACTTTATATTTATTACATAATTAACATTACTCGACGTTTCGCAAGCAATCGTTGTCAGCAGAGTATCTCTTAGTTTTATCTGTCAAAATTGGATGTAGAATGTGAGGTTCCATATAAAGACACTTATTATTACACTTAGCTATTGATTTACATATTAATACTTATTTGATTTATGAATAATGGTATGCACTTTGACAGCAGTAACTAGTTAGGGCCTATAGACCGGTTGTGCAAAGTGTTGCACAAGAGCCAGTGAGTCACCATTTAAGCTTTATTCCATTTTACGATTGCTTCATTTGCTCATTATCGCGCATAGTTTGATAGCAAATTGACATAAAGATACATTGGCAAGTCTTATCTATTTAATTTCATCGAAAAATGAAGAAATAATTACATACAATGTAGTAAAAATGGTTGAAATACTTAAAAACAACTCATTTCATCTTATTTGTAAAATGTTTTCAATTTATAACTAAGTTACTTCATCGAATACAAAATAAAAACAATAACATAAGCGTTCGCAAGTCGTGGGCGCTTGCGCTGCTAAAAAGATTCGTCTCGATAGCGTTTTAGTGAATGTTTCAAGGTCCCGTCCTGGTTTAAACACCCGCAAAGGATTTGTCAACCCGGTCTTTATGACGTAATACATGTTTTATTGTCTCCCTGGCCTAGGACCGATTCTTGTTGCCAAGCAGATTATCAAAAATTGACTAAATGTTGACGACTTTGTCAGGTGTCTTCACCAAAACTATAAATACTTTTTTTTTATTGATCTTAAAACGACTAAGTGAAATTATGACACCGGTATTCGTGTCTGTAAAAAGTAACAATGTAATAGTAATAAAACAAACTAAGTTGTTCATACAAACATTGCATGCTTGGTAAATTTCAGTTACATCACTGCTTTTTAGAATTTATTTCACTTTATGTTGTTATCTGTATTTAAATTTCGTTTTATTGAACTTTCTTCACACGACAAACGTGTTAATGTTGTCTGATTATATAGAAGCGAAGTTAAGTAAGCAAATTGATAAAGGTGTCATACAGTCGTTTGTAAACATCCTACATCGTTTTCATTTCACGTGCAACTGACAAAATTATATTAACGGCGTCGCTTTGTTTAGCTAACTTTCACTATTTTACCTCTATTATTTATTTTATTTTCGTTATTTTATCGTCTAGGCTCTAGACTTTAACCGAGCTATCTATAGGTTATTTGAAAACAATATTTTTGCTTGTAAATCTAGCTAAATACGGATTGCCGTTCGGTTTAGTCGATTAAAATTCGATTTGGTCATTTAAAAATTAATGATTTAGAAGCAAGGCAAGTTGTCATTGACCCGAGAGCGCGGGTTTACTATTAGTTTCGGTTGCAATGTTGTCATGGTTCACAGTAATCGCTCATCCGCGTTAACCTTGCGTTGTAGCTTTCCCATTAAAATCTCGACAGTTATTAAAGCCCTTTCAAATGTAATACAATAACGTAATGAACGCTTTTTGTGATGTTTAATCTCGGTCGGCTTTGCACTATCGAAAATATTTGTATAGGCAATATCGCTGAAACGCCTTGGACAGCTAAAGGAAACCTTGACCAGATATTGGTCTGTATCACTAAAGATCTCACTTGGCTCGATTTCGTAACTTTGCCCGCACTGCACCGGTCCGGCCTGCGATCGATTGTGACCATAATGCTGCAACCGCTCCACTCTCGTCGCGAACTTGCGTGCCGCTACGCTGTGGCCCGCCAACCCTTGGCCTAACCTGTCAGTATTACCGCGAATTCACCTCGTTAACTGAATGTCAAAAATATTAACGGCTATTGTGAAATGTTCGCCGCTATCGAAACGTATCATAAAGTAAGGGCTCGGATCGTAAGCGGAGACGGGATGATTCAATACGATACACGTGTTCCCTGTTTCTAAAAATAAATTAGCGTTGTTATACGGAATACGCTATGCGTTGACCGCATTGAAAATGAACGTACTTTTCAGTATCAGGTTTTCCATGATAGCACTCTGCAAATCACTCAAATGCACATGAGTGATAGACCAAACAAAGCGTTAGGCTTATCGCGTTATGTAAACAATATCAATAATATCACATTCATCTGAATAAGGTAACTTTCTCATATTGACACAAAGTTTGAACACCGGAAAAGTTTGTTATACGTCAGCGCCGGTGGTAGCGGAAAGTGCTCGTCGCGGCAAACGCGATTGGCGGATTTCGGCTAAAATTGCTTTCACCTTCATTATTTCGTAATCGTTGTTTAAATACAGCTAGCGCTGGAAAGGATTTATTGTTAGCTTAAATATTAAAAACTTGCCTATTACATATGTATATAAAATTAGAATGTGTTATAATTCATGCTTGTTTTGGGCATGAAAATATTAATAGTAATTAACACAACTGTTATGTTCTCGTTTTACTGTTAAATGATAATTACGCGTTGAGAAATGTTACAGACTTGTTAATGTGAAAAAAAATAACTATGTTTCGCGTAAGTCTATTGTTTATTTTGACCGTTTGAATTGGTAACTGTTAAATATTCATCAGAAAGAAGCAAGTAAAAGCCATTTGGCTAGGCGTGAACTAACTGAGCACTGCAGGGGTTGTGAGTGCCAAGGTCAAATTGCATCTTTTTAGTCGCCAAAATTTTTATTATTCTTTTCATAGCGAAATTTGCATTCGTCTCGTGTGCTCTTAGAAAATCTAAAATATTTCTCTAACAGCGTTTGGTTTTGAAAAGTTAATTTCCTTAGCCAACAAGATTCATGTGCAAATTAATGTTTGGTCGAAAGTGAACGTTGCGCTGCTTGATATTCACGATGTATTGTGACGTACGTGGTTTCCTTTGGACAATGATAACGTCATCTCTGTCTATAATCGGACTTCAAGTAGGACCTGTGTGTAATGTAAAATGGTTTTACCCTATTTTACTGTTTCGAATATAGAACAGTGTACAAACATCAAAATACACTGGTATTTCCTGCTTCATACTTTTGTCTTTATCTTAATTAAATGCGTCAATATTCCTGTAAGGAAAACCGTAATATACATTTTCATAGAAACTGTTAATTGTTTACAGGCAGATGACATTTATCCTTTCTTAATTGGTCAATGATACAAATACAATTGATTATCAATTTCACTATAATTATTTAAAGATTTAAAAGTTAACGCTCCATAATGCTTTATTAATAAAGAATATCTAAAGAAAAAATACGAAAGTATTTTAATCTGTATACGTTAGATGCATTCTAAGGTTCGCTTTGAGCTTTCAAGTTCAACTTGTCCACACTTGGCGTTAAAAATGTGACTACGCCTTGCGAATAACATACACCCACTAACGTGTATGTGTTGCGTACTAGTGTGAGAGCTTATTTGAAAGGTCTTTATGGTAAATATCTAAGTTGAATTAATTAATAAAGCAAGTAGTTCTTGTTTACTTTTTCTAAAGTTAATACATTTTGCTTATTAGATCTAAAATTAAGCGTTATTTAAACGTTGTTACAGCTTTTAACTTATCAACAACATAAACAACTTTCTCGTATAGAATTTGATATTAATTTCGTATAAAATATAACAGGTATCTATGCAACTTTATACTATTTTTGCGCCCACAATAAACCAATTACGCGGACTATAATGCCATTAGCTTTGACGAGAAAGAATCGTTATCGGATAGTCGCAGTTTGCTCCTGATCTTGCATAAAGACGCTCTCCAATGTTAAAATGTCTGATAAATTAATAAATCGATTTTATCAAACACTATATATCCAATGAGAAAAGGAAGAAGTGCAAGTTTTTTTAGAATAGTACAGGTGGCAAAACCTTTCATTCGTATTTGTCGGTGAGTTGCATTTTGTGTTACGAGTTACGTTTTGTCTCTCTAGATTATATGCATACCTAGTTTACCAATAACGTTGACGGTTTATCACTTTGGTGACGTAGTTGTGATTGTTCGGTTGTTAGGAGCTACCGAGTAATGTTCATCTGTTAATATGTAACCAAAGCGCGGGCGGTGCGGGTTGGCAGTCAGCTCGCAAGCGTGGTCAACGTCGGTCTATCCTTGGCGCTTAGCAGACATTGCTAATATTTAAAATTTTATATACGTAACATGAAAATACACTACATCGACTCTCAATCCGTTGTGACCTTGTTAAACGATAAACGCGACCATTAAAACGTCTTTTAAAAAAGATTTTACATTATTATGACTGAAGGAAAACTATATAGTTATATTTTCGTGGTGATATCTAGGAATATTAATTATACGTTTTCGTCAAAAACATAATTGCTAAGATAATAATAGGCAAGGCACGTAAATGTGGGCCCGCCCTTAGGGCCCTATTGGCCGCATGTTGCGTGCCATCGCCCGACAACCTGAACAATCTTTTAGACCCACATACGGCACGTGAAGATAAATCACTAACGTTAGTAATATGACTGAATTTTGCTCTTAAGTTTGAATTTATTGAAACCTCACCTCAACCTTTTACATGTCTAGCAATATTTTCAAAAATCCCAGTTCACTAACCCTACAGCCTTCCGATCGCTGATTTCACAGCTCGGAGCATTCGTGGAGGCGGCGTAATGACCGATCTAAGCGATCCCATCATCGGCGATCACCGACATCGCACCGGCGGAGAAGACATCATCGCGACGAGTCTTCTCCTCGGTCACCCCCTGAACAGGTTTGTCCGACCGTTGCTATGTACTTTATTTAGTGGATGAATGAATGAATGATTATGTCTGAAGAACCTATCGCTCGCCATCACTTACCTACTACCTAAGTGTCCGCCCGAAAATTCAGTTTTTACAATAAACTATGTATACTCTCTTGAATAATGTCGTAAGCAAACACCGGAACCTGTATAACGCGAAAACATAAATTCCTGTTGGAGGAATAAACGGGACTGGTTTGGCATGTGTATGCGCGTGCGCATGCGCCTTCGTCCGTGAAGACGCGCGCGAGAGACGGCGACCTCATCACGCTTGCGAGTGTTCTATTTGTGTTCGCCTTCGTCACTTTGTACGCCTTCAGTCAGTTGCAAAGCTGAATCGGCCGCCCAGTGTGTTTTCACTATCGGTGTGAGAAGTTAATTTGCTGAAACCGGTAGCGGGCGGCCGCCATGGCTGCCCAGCCATCGCGTAAACCTCCCGATAATGTGCTATTTCGTGGTCCACCGCCTTCATTGCCCCCAATAGTTCTCTTACCGAATAATTTATCATGTGACAGTGCCAATGAAAATACTCTAAAGAACGCTATCCTTGAATCAACTGAATACCCGCATGGTTTAAACGAAATAAACAACGTTGGATTGCCAACTTTAGATGATCAATACAATGAAATTATAAATCACAACATGTCCGGAGGCAATAGTGATGATTATTGTTACATCAACTTTATACGAAGAGGTAGGAGTTTAAACGATATTGTATCGGATTTGTATTATGCTAGCACTACAGAAGAAAGCGATATAAGCAATATATTAACTAGGTGTAGATCAGAGCCAGATCTTTCAAAGTACGATTTGTATCTTGAAGCTGATGTTGTGGTAGATAATTCTGGGATACAAGTTCCACCATCACTAGTTCTTAATAACCCCTTTTACGACAATTCTAATGCATATAATAATCCTCATATTAACCAAAATATGGTTGTGTTACCAGAAAACTACTTAGCCTTCGAGGACTCTTTTGTACCTTCCTGGGATTATAAACCAGAACTTCTCGTAGATAAAGATATTAACACAGGAATGTATTACGACGGATTACCTCTCATACCTTCAAATGATCCCTGGTCACTTTACAACTCTAATAACAATCCTTACGAATATTATTCACCCCAGTTTGATATGCCTATTGCTGATTGTATGCAATATACGAGACTAAATGAATTAGATTTTGGAATACCGCAATTCATGAATTTGCCACCGGAAGAAGCTATTAAAATTAAAGAAATTGATATCAATGAAGACGATGCTTGTACGTCAGGGGGTACAGACACAATAAAAGATAATTTTGAAGATGCTCAAGTAGTTGCCCAATTAATACCTTCTCTTTCACCTATCAATAAGGAGGATAACAAGGACAGTATTATAGATTATTTAACAAATCGGGAATCGTCAAGAATCAGCGACGAAGAGTCATTGAATGCAGACACATCAGTAGATGTTACATCTAGCTTAGCATTCATTCCAAGTAGTAAAAGTTCAGTGAGACCAACCCACTGCTCAGACGATACCAGCGACGACACTTCGCCGTGTTCTTCTGATTATCATGAAGCTTCTGCACTTGACTTAGCACACAGCTTAGAAGAGTTATCGTGTGATAGTGACGAATTTTCACAAAGCAAAAGTGACCCTTCGCCCTTGTATATAGAGGAAAATAATAAATTAGTTAAAAGTGATTCCCAAGTGGAATGCAATAACAATTTATTAACGTCTAATAAAATACCAGTTACAGTGCCATTAAGTCAACTACCATCCATTCCTGATATAAAGTCCTTAGAAAATGAGCCCGGAGTAGGACCAACTCAGTCCCAAAACAAAGATGTAAATAAATCAAATTATACGGTGCAGAAAGTGTCTAACACTGGCACGCTTAAAGAGGTTGATCAAATTAAAGCATCTACCGTCGTTTCTCCAAATGAACCAATACAAGTGAAGCCAATAAAACCAATACCACAGCGTCCTCGTCCACCCGCAGTGCCTCCAGCTTGGTTGACCAAGCCTAGTATAAATGCTGTGAATCGGAATGTACCACAGATTAACTTGCAAAACGCAGAAGGGTCAACAAAAATACTGAATATACCAAAGAAGTTACAACAGACCAGTCAACTGAAACCTGAACCCCAGCCGTCTTGCTCCTATGTACCTCCACAACCCCAGCAGGCACAAATGTCGCAAATGAAACCTGATAAGCAACCGAAAGAAGTAGAGGTCAGCTTATGCATATTTTTTACATTAAAGTCACATTAACCATTTTTAATTTTGTTTGATAATTCAATTGATGACCGGTGTTTTTATATTGAATGACGTAGAATGCTAGATATTTTAATTGATATAGTCGAATCATAAACGCAATGATCGTATGAATAGCGTTCTAATAAAAGTTTATATTATTAAAGACAGAAATAGTTTCAGCAGCTGGCACATCTATGTTGTACCAATGGCGAATACGAGATGGCGCCACTAGTTTGCCGCTTAACAAATAGCGCACGCGCACAGAAATAGAATCGATCACCTTCACCTAGCCAATATTCCCGCATGCTTTCTGTTGTGATTTCTATGTGTGATTCAAACTGTTACACCCGTCTGATTTAGCGACGCACAAGCCGCCCACGTGAACGCCCATGGTGTTCCCCATGAATATGACAAAAAAAAATGAATTTTCTGCCTTTTTAATATTCCCTAAATATAATTAAGATTGTTCTAATTTGGTTTTAACGTGTTAATTTTATAACTTTTAGAACTTCATGTCCTTGTATGACATAAGTTCTAAAAGCAAAAAAGAATATGCGTTGAAAAACTTATTAAGAAAACATTATCTTAAATTTCGATACCAAATAGTTAATTAACTCAATAATCACTGACAAATGCATGTGGTTGATAACATTTTAGTTTTTCTATTTACTAAAAGGGAAATCCTTGTGCCTCTGATTTTCACACTGTTCCATTAATCATATTTATTTTAGATAGTAAATCTACTATACTCTTCGTAACTTTGTAGGAAGTCGCAAACACATTTGCCTAATCTACTCTTATTAAAGAGACAATTGTTTTGTATTGTAAAACAAAACCCTTAGATTGAAACTCGTTAGAGCCAGTTCACATTGGATTCGCTAGTGATTCAGTCTTTATTCGGGTTGGTTGTTAAAGGAATGTGGATTTTAAAGGCATTCCAATATTATGACTAATATACCTATGTAGAGGTTAATATTCCCAAGACATATAAAATATAAAACATTCGTTATTTTAAATGCGGAAGTATTTTTCACAAATGTAAAACCAGCGATTAGTCATTAGGAAAGTTTGGATATGTGCCGGTTTCGATTCATAACAAATGTTCACAATTTTATTTACGGTTTATCTACCTATTTAACATTTAAAGTCTAGTAAAGCAAAGTTAATAATATACTAATAATAAATAAGAGAACATATTTCAGTATTTATTAACCTCGACTTACTACTTATTAATTTATTAATAGAATTGGCTGTGTATATTCTTACGCTATCTTTATCATTTAGTGTTTAAAGATTACCGAATGGAGGTCAAGTTTATCAAGCACAAGGTGCTATCCAACACCGTTGCTCGTTAATAAGGCGAGCCTCTGCCCTGATAGCGAAAGATAAATGTGCCGAAACAAACCCATCTGTTAAAAACTATTGCTTCCGGATAACCTTGTGGCAGCCTACATTTTTTTTGTGAGACAAAAAACCATAATCATTATCGCATATCTTATATATTTGCTATACCATTTGAAATAAATAGAGAATGTATGACATATTTACTTAGAAGTGGCTTTGATCACGTAGGATTTGGATGTATGTTAATACATATTACGGCCAGCACTCCGCAGTCATGCAAAGACCTCCGAGCGGGTCATGCAGTTGAACTATTACGGAACTTTATGGTAGTTCTTATCGTTCGTAGACAGGGTTTTTTATAATTGTTCTTTTGGACTTAGTGATTGTGATAAGTGTTGTTTTATTTACGTTATCAGTTTAAAGTCTAGTTGCATTTACAATAATTTAAAAATATTATTTAAAAACCCCAACGAACTATGGGAATTGGACGTTAATTATGGGAATTGTTAACCGTTCGTACGCGGATAAATCCTGTTACAACCGAGATGTGTCGTGTTACAAATTGTCCGCCTTTTAATTGGTCGGTTGTGGCATCGTTCATTTTAGTTTTAATTTAGCCATCGACCAACGCGAAGTGTCTCATGCAAACAATGGTTTCAAGTTAAATATTTCCTTATAATTTAAATGTTTTCGTTTGTCATAATCGCGTTTCATTCAGTAACGTTTAACGGACGATACAAGCGTATAATTTCATAACAGTTGTGATTCAATCGGCATTCAATCCGCTCGCCCGGTACGTTGTTTTAGTTTGTGAGGTGCAGTGATAAGTGTTGGGGCAATGCCCGAATTGGTATTGAAACACGATAGGATGCGATTGCCACTCCGGCTCACGTCCTTTTACGAGCTTTATAAAAGGTTCCTGAAAGAGCACGGATGCAAGTGGCACGATGTTTCTAAACTTCTCAATGTGGTCGCGGAGATCCTTTTTGATGTGGACGATGCATGTACTAAATCTACTGGCAAGGTCAGTTTTAATTACGGATATATAATTTTTTCAAAAGGGTACCCTCATGTTTGTTTTTAAATAGGTATGTCGGTAATTCAATTATTTTAATATAGCACTTTCGGGTTCCTTGAAACGTGCATAGTTTATCATGCTTGATTAATACTTATACTTCTACTTCAGATACTGGGAACTTTATACTAAAACCATGTTTATATCATACCATTATTATCCAGATTTTTTTTTAATAGACCTTCCATTAATAAAAAAACAGCACAGACAATTGTCATGGTTTTTTTTCTTCTAATCGTTTAAATACTTTTTAATTTTTCTAGTATAAACAAAAAAACAAATCTTAGTAAAAAAATACTCTAATTCCACGTACAAAATAGTCCAGAAAAAAATTCAATAAATAAATGATTCATAGTTAAAGTAACGAATTTCCGTTACTGGAAATTCTGATTATTATTACTCATAAATATAAGAGGGGATTTGTTGGTACCAGTTTTGTGTGTCCCTTTTTACCTGCAGTCAAGGTATTGTTACACCGTCTTATTCAGCTGGCGGAATCATGGCTGACGGTTTAGTACTAATAATGTTACAGACGATATGTGAGTGAAGTTGCAACCACGGGAAATCAGTGCCAATTTAATGATTATTTCTGTATTTTTGGATATATAGCCAAAAATGAAGTTTCTTATAAAGTCATTCTTTTCGAAAGTGATTAAAGATTTTGTTGATATATTGTATTCATGTGGGACTATTGTTTATGAAGAGGAGTTTAAATACATAATCGAGGTATACCTTCTCTTCCAATTGATATATTGTTTTTTTTAAAGCACATCTACGTATGTGTTTGCGAGTAATCTTGATATTGACCAGCATTATATTCGAGGCCACTAAAGGTCGGTATTCACAAACAATGTTAGCTATAAAAGCTGAAAAATATTTACCGAGCGAAAGTTGTTGCATGCAACATAGATACGTTAAGAATGCAATATTTCTTCCGACGTTAGGCAAACGATTTTATAGAGATTTGAAGCGTATAAATACATACTAAAATATAATCCGTATTAATTATCTACGTATTAATAAGCAGCTGTGTAAATTAGTATTTTTTATGGACCTTACGTGAAATTTTATGATGAATTCATTTAGCTCCTATCATCTAAGAACTAATTACTAAGAAAGTGTTCTGTACATCAATTGTTAGTATTATTTTAGTTACTTATAAATCAGTAATTGCAAGTTGATGACTTTATTTGGTTTGCTTATTTAATTAAATATATTTGAGCTTTAAAACGTTTCCAGTCTATTAAGATTAATAACTGGACTTGATCTAAAAGATTAATTATACATAATGTTAAATAAACGTATTTGTTTATAGAAACGATAAGCGTGAGACACCACGCAGAGTTATCGTGTTACATATCATCAGACATCAAATGCTTTTTACGCCCGCATCCGTTCTTCATTGTTTATACGTTTTTATCTTATAGAAGATATCAGGGGAAAATAAATTCAAATTAAGAATAAGCAAAAAAGACCGGGTGAGCAATTTGCAATGTTACGCTATGACATGTATCGTCGCCTGCGCATACGATACATTAGTATTGTTCATTGCGCGTGCTACTAACCCAATTAGTAGTTTGACGGAATAATCTTGGCTCTCGAACTGATGCGGAGGAGAGTCACCCAATTACATGGAATATTATTGTATCGATAATATTATACTGAAAATCCATTGGCGATGGAAGCGTTTCATAATTGTGTACCAACTCAACAGTTTATGGGATTTAAATGGACATGCCAATTTGAAGCTCACACATTTATATCGTGTAATTAATTTGAACGTTTTATAAAGGAAGAATGTATTGGCGATTAAGAAATTATAACGGACGTAACGCGACGAAAATGCGCGTGCCGCGGCACCTCGGAGTGCGCAGGAGGGCGCTCCCACGGGTTACCGATATTTTTAGTTCGCAACCATTACTTGGCACCGACGGCCGTACTCAGCTGCGCTAGTGATCTTTCTCAAATCCTATCGCGCTTACTGCTTAATCCCCGAGCAGAGTATAGCTAGTGCTATGTTCGAATTCACCCTCCAAGTTTAAACCCTGTGGTTCCATTGTTTCGTTTCTATCTATATGAATTGAATGGAAAGATGAACGTAGTATCAGTGTTTGTTCCTGTGATAAGAGTGTTTCAATACAATTGAACGATTTATTACTCAATTACAATGGCCGGTATAAGTACGAGCGGAAGTAGTGCAACGAGTCCACGCCGCCAACGATACAACCGATCTTCTACCACAAGTGTTACTCAATTGCTGTCTGACGGATATTCCAGTATTATCAATCGATTTACCCGTCGTGGACCGTCTGAGAAAAATGAAGCCGTAATGGACTCTAAATTAACCAGTAGTGCCCGTAACAGATATGATGACAGTTTACTTACAAACAAAAATCCCGCCCTAGCAAATGTAAGGCGTTATGAGAACAATAGTAGACGTAATTTATCCCCCTATAATTCTTATAGTGGCTTATCATCTACTGCAAAAAAATTTAGCGACGATCACACCTACAATTATCTCGGTGCAACCAAAACGCGTGTCAATACATCACCCTTACACGCTGCGTCTGGTTTCAGTGCTCTGGGCCGCAATGACTCATTTCGTAGAGCTCATGTGAAAGACAAATCATCGCCACTCGTAAAACGATATCCGCTGAAGGAGGCAAACAACAATATCGATACTACAATTACTTTGGGAAGTACTCGCAGTCGCTTGGAGGATAAGTACTCGTCGGTTTTAGACAAAATAGCTGTGATGAAAAAGGAAAAAGCTAGAAAAGAAAAGGAGGATCGCGAAAAAACATTAGAACCGGAACCCACGCTTTCTAGAGGATTAATGAGAAGTTTTACGACTGCTGTTTTTGGTGAGAGTTCATTTAAACGGCATCACAACTATTCTCGTGAAAAAACAAGAGATAAAACTCCGTTCCGTAACACTACCGATCGACGTCTATCGGCACACAAGCAAAGTGACCGAAATGAACTGAAAAATGGCTATGACACAAGCAATATAAATTTTAATTATGGAAAAGATAGAAACAGCATTTATAGGAAACATCAGAGAAGATCGCTACGTGCTGAAAAGAGTGAAAATGATCGAAAAACGACAAAACTTTCTTTACGACCCATAGATGTGAGCTTGCAAAGTGGGGCTCGCGATCTAATCTCACCACCTCAACAATTGAACGCAGATTCTAAAATTAATAATTTAAAAACACCTGCATCTTCTCCCGCTAAAGATGTCGGTAGACAAAAACAAATATATTACCCGTCGAGCGATGAAGACGACGACAAAACACCCGTCGGTGATCAAATACTGAACGAACGTGAGACTAGGCGTAAAGAAATACAGAGTTTGATAATGAAATACGCTCATTTGGATGAGGTGTACGGGCGTATTACGGATAAAGAGTCCAATGGATTATCTTCAGCTCCCGCTAAGTTTAAGAAGCCAGAACCTATTGGTATAGGAGATGTCGTAGCGCTTCCACCTGAGTTGAGGAGTCGACAAAGGCCTCAGCGACCGCGGCACCACATACGTCAAGCGGCCACGCCGCCTGTAAGCACAAGCTAATCAAGCCTTCGCCTTTGTGCCGCTAACATTTATTCCTGGTCCGTATTTTTTGCAATACTGGACAGTTCTAAAACATTAACTATACCGCTCTAATAATAATAATATAGCTATTTGAAACCATACATATCATTTGCATCACAAAATAACGTTTTAGTATATCCATGCAAAAGTAAAATTATGCACTTTCATATGAAATTGCGTATAAAAGCTGTATATTATTTCACAAGTTTTTTTTAATTATCAAAATAAACACATAGTAGTATACAGTTGGGTTCCCAAAAATTTTTAAGTTTTTATAACGCGAGAGGGTACTCGAAATTCGATTCGACTAAGTGACCATTGTTATCTTCCAGTAGCAGTTTGATAACAGTGCAATGTTTGATTATAAGTTATAACATGATAATTAATTGCATGTTTTAACATCGTGCGTGCTAATCTAAAAGCTAAATCTATCTTTGTATTAAAATGTTTTAATTTTGAAACGAATCTTCAAAAGTATTTTTTTCTTAACAAAATATTTTAAATAATCGGGTGGACACCGGTATCCCATTGTGTGAGATGAATGCCTGAGATGTACGTGAGGGACGCGTGTAATTCCCAGTCCTTTCCGCATCCTCGCGAGCAACGCTGAGGCGGGCGGCCGAGGTGGTTCGGTCGTCCGCCGGCGCGACCCGCAACGGCCCACCCGTCCGCTCTAACAGCATGTACGACACTCAATACCAAATGTCGCTTGTCTGACGGGCAACCGCTCCCTTCTTTGATTGTTCGGTACAACTCTACTCGGGTCGTGACGCGTGGCGCCTCGGTGGCATTGGCTGGCTGGTGCTGTTCGGTGCGCGGTGCGGCTTCGTCTCGGCCCGGCTCGGCGGCTGGCGGTCGGCGCTTGCAGAGCTCCCGTGCACGCTCCTCCGTCAAGGACGACAAGGATGGACACCTGGTCTACTGGCCCGGATATGTCATGGGAGCAAGATGTTCGTGTCCACAACATAACTATGACCGGCTTATGTATTGTAACACCATACACCACATACACACAAACATAAATGCGACGCAACGTACACACATTTTCTACACTCATATTATATAGTATGGCTATTGTAAGGAAAATCAATAACACTATACACAACATGTCATTATCACCTTTTTAAAAATGTCAACAAGAAGCCCATGCTGGTTCAGCCTTTGATTTACAGACAAAATTCTTTTTTTATATCTCAAGTCATGTTAGAGGAGAAAACATTGGTTTTCTTGATTATTTTATTTTCAATACATTCTTGTTATCGAAACCAATGGCAAGTCTCTATCGTGACTTTGTTAAAATGACGTGTAATAATTGGTTCCATAATTCATTACAGACAAAATCATCGACACACTCGGTGAGGGCACATTCGGCAAGGTGGTGGAGGTGAAAGACTTGGAAATGTAAGTATTACATTAAGATGTTTTAGAAATTCCTACGTCAATGTACATTTGAATTTAACCAACCAAATATTTTATACCTAAATTTCAATGAGTGTATAAAAATGCTTATCGCTTGGGAACACCTCCCAATATTGAAAGCGCCCATATGACTCACTTTTAATTACTCACGATTATATTATTTATGTTGCATATATGAAACTATTTTTCTAAGATTTAAATTGTATTTATCTAGTAATATGATAAGAATTAATATTGTACGTGTATTATCCGTTAATGTTTAACTGTTAATGATTACTTAACCCCTAACATTATTTTTGCAAGCATTATCTGATAAACATAGTATTAATGCATGTTGTATGAGTTGCCAATGCTCTATTTTAGATGAGGTTAAAAATACGCGTGACGTCATAATTTATTGTTATGTTTTCATTTTCAGGGAACACAGAATGGCTCTGAAGATTATTAAGAACGTCGAGAAGTACAGAGAGGCTGCAAAACTAGAAATTAATGTTTTGGAGAATTTGGCTGAGATTGATCCAGATTGTAAGAAGTAAGTAAACTAATATTTTTCTAGAATGCCCAAGTAAATTCCCTGAAATTGTACGCTTTCTATATACTATTAGGACTAGGTACGTTCACAAATGTATAAGACCAGAGTATTATACAGAATTTCTTTTAGACGGGTCAAAATTACAGGATATCGTATGAATTAAGAATTTAAAGAATAAGTTTGACATTTAGGAAGAAACAGGTTGACAATTTTTTCATAGACAACGCCAGAATCAAATTTTAAACATAAATGTATCAACCTGTACGCTTTAGCTAGCTTTTTAGTATAGTAAGCTAGGTACATAAGTGATAGTATACATGATGTATGACGTTACCCCTAACCGAGCTACGATTAGATCAATAAAAGCAATTCTCACATAGATTACACTAGATCAGCTCGCGAATGTAGCAATATTTGACCTTGCACGTCTATATGCGACGTTATGGCCGTCGCTGGCGCAACGCCAATGAAGAACTTGTCAACGAAAACACAAAAATATCGACCGCCATTCGCATTAAACTTGCAAAGAATTTAAAATTAATCAATATTTATAGCCTTGTAACAGTATTCACAATTTGCGATTAATTCAAGAACCGCAATTAATGGAAAAGGGATCTCGCTAATGTATTCTTTAATTGCTTTGCAAAAAGCAATATTGTAAATATGGCATTTAAATTAATAAGGCAATTAATCATTACCATTTTAGTCCTATGTAAAAAAACTTGAAATTGTTTTATTTCTTCGTTTTACTAGAAGAGAAAAGGGATTTTAGAATGTGTAACATAAAATTCTCTTTGGTTTTATTTTTGGTTAGAAACAGGAAAAGATCCAGTTTTTTATTAATAACTAAATCTGTATGAAGAGAGATATATATTACTACTGTACTGTTGACGGCATATTTATTAATACAATAAGCCAGTTACACAATTAGAGTGCTTTAAATATTTACGGAGAATAGTTTCTATTTTGTATTGTTGCAAAAAATACACACTAAAGAAAATTTCTTCCAACGAAGCAAATCATTTAAGATAAATATTTTGTTCTATTTCAGTTTGTGCGTGAAAATGTTGGATTGGTTCGAATACCACGGACACATGTGCATCGCGTTTGAAATGCTCGGACAGAGTGTGTTCGACTTCCTGGTGAGAATCATTTGTTTACGTCAATGCATGCCGTCATATTTTTATCTAGATTATTCTGAAATCTAAATTTAGGATTCGCCTAAAATAACCCAAATTGCACTTGAGAATTTCACTTGTATTTAGTTTGAAAAGTGCTTTCTGTCTGGAATATTATTGACGTTTGTTTTTGTTTATTTTTCAATTAGGCTGGGTTACAACTTGGTGGTTGATGAATGTTAAACATTTATTTTTCTTAATCGAGTATTTACCTATTTTAGATTAGTTGCAAGTGTTCTAAGTATAAGTGCTGATATTTAAAAAAAACTTAATTTTTCCTTTATTTGAACGGTATTTAAACTGGGGTTTTTTATTATTATAAATCGGAACAATGTTCAAGATCACTAAATATTTTACAGAATCCATAATATTAAAATGTTCTTTGACAAAAGTTTGTACCCAATCTCTTCTTTTTACAGAAAATTAAAACGACAAAATCAATTGTAATATGATTTTATGCGTCATATGTAGTACGCCATTTTTTTTAATTTCTTCGCTAATAACTAAAGAAAAATTTTATATTTGCAGAAAGACAACAGCTACCAGCCCTACCCGCTGGAACAAGTGCGGCATATCGCATACCAGCTCATATACAGCGTGCTCTTCCTTCACGACAATAAACTCACGCACACAGATCTCAAACCAGAGAACATCCTGTTTGTGGATAGCGATTATGAAGTCGTCTCTGTATATAGTAGTTCTAAGAAGGTGAGGAAATTATTTACCAAATACTAGAGGTTTGTATGAAAGGAGAATTTTGCTTGATTGTGATTCTTTTATATTTTTTATTTTATAAGTGACACCGATTATGGGCATAAATTGCATGTTGAATAACATTTTAACTAGAATTTTACCAAATTTAATATAAATATAGATTATACATGTCCCAAACTAAAATAGTAATAAAGGATTCCATAAAAATAATTTACATTTCTCATATTGAATATTGCTGTTCCAGAAGCACGAGCTGCGTCGCGTGAAGCGCAGCGATGTGCGCCTGATCGACTTCGGCAGCGCCACCTTTGACCACGAGCACCACAGCACCATCGTGTCCACGAGGCACTATCGGGCACCAGAGGTCATCCTGGGTGAGCATGTAATTTGTATACAATAATAAAACGAAACATAATAGAAATCACGTGGAGTTAGACATACTTTCAAAATACATTTTCATAAGTATATTCCATGGAGCTGTGGAATACGCTTCCCAAGTCAATTCTATTCGAAAAGCTTCCTCTTCGCCTAACGCGCTAAAAAATGTATCCACGTTATATTTTGTCTAATATATTGAATACCCGTCGATAACTACTAAACATTTTTCAACATCTCGATATCACGTAGTTCCTGAGAAAAAAATTATCGCTACGTTTTACGATACATACTTAGCATATGTGTTACGTTAATCGTAAGCCTGAATATATGTATTACTTAATATTATGTATTTCCAGAACTGGGCTGGTCGCAGCCGTGCGACGTGTGGTCTATCGGGTGCATAATGTTTGAGTTGCATCTGGGCATAACCTTGTTCCAGACACACGACAACCGAGAACACCTCGCCATGATGGAGAGGATCCTCGGACCCATTCCTTACAGGTGGTTCAATTATTTTAGATATTTTATGTAAACTTTGTTTTTACTATATGTAGATAAATTTTATAATTTAAATACCGTGAATAACTCAAAAGTTTATTGTTAATATGCATAAAAATATTTTCGTTCAAGAATATATCTTTAAAAATACTAATTATAGCATTTACAAGGATACATTGTTTATTTACAAATATGCAAAGTCAATAGTCGCATACAAAAGAAATTATGTCTGCTTCTATGAAACATTCTCAATTTTAACATATTTTAATTTTCAGAATGGCAAGAAAAACGCGAACAAAATACTTTTATCACGGCAAATTAGATTGGGACGAAAAGTCATCAGCTGGCAGATATGTTAGGGATAATTGTAAACCTTTATTGGTAAGTGTATTTTAATTCTACTTTTTTATGAAACAAAAATAAAAATTACCTCTTCTCATTATATGTTGATTCGTTGTTATCGCGGTTGGCTAGTTTCAAAAATTCCTGATCGACTCATACGTAAGAGCGGGCAATGAAATGAATATGTATAAATATCAAAATACCTCCAAAACCCTGACAAGAATACAATTGAAATGTTTGAATGTGATTTCCAGAGATACATGGCTAACACAAGTGAGGAACATCGTCAATTGTTCGAACTGATCGCTCGGATGTTAGAATACGAGCCCCTGCAACGCATCACGCTACGGGAAGCACTCAACCACCCTTTCTTCAGCAAACTGCCGCCGCACCAGAGGCTAGGTAATTAAAAAGTACATAAACTTATTTATTAATTTAGTAATATCTGTAATTGAGAAGGTTTTTAATATTATATTAAAGATAATCCAATTAAATGATAGATCACAACAAGTCCAGACCCTTGTTTTTTTTAAATTAACTGTAATCGTTTACTAAAATTAATATTTTTTGGATAATCCATAAAAAAATTGAAAGTTCTCTTTTATGCGATTTTTGCGATGATGTGCTCTTGCATAAATTGAGTTTTAAAATTTTTAATTTTGAACTCTGCAGATCATCGACTTATAGAGTTAAAAAAAATTGAAAATTGATTTTTTACTGTTATTTTTATTTCAGTTGTAATAAATGCAGAATATTCTTTTGTATAATTGCGTTAACCATTTTGCTAACTTATATATCGTAAATTAATTCAACAATATTGCTATATATTTCATCCATTGTAGATTTTATACATAAAAAATTAAATCAGTTTTATTACATTATTTTAACTTAATCAATATTATGATAATTTTGGAAGTATTCGTGCACGTCACGTATTGATTCGCTTTTTGCTGTAACGAAATAATAATGATAGTGACACTGTCTGATAACTTGAAAGCTAAGATTTGTTCTTTAGTTCTAAGAGCATTGTGAGCGTTGTTCCAGCCTTCCGCAAAATTTATTGATACTATTTTATTTCTAACTATTCAATTGGTCAGACCTTTCATTATAAAGTAAAGAGAACTTGACTAGAGAGAGACGACTTAAAAAACTACTAACTCTAATTAGGGAGCGTTCAAGTATTACGTCACGCAATTTTTGGAGATTACTGGAAACCCCCCAACCCCCCCATGTAACGCGCCGACTTTTTATACCTAAAAGTTACCATTATGTGGTATAAAGTACTGGAAAGTCGAAAATAATATAAACAATTACGCGTAATCCAAACCCCGCCCCGCATCATTACGTTTTACAAAACGACCTAAATTCGTTACGTAATACTTGAACGCTCTCTTAGACTTTTTTATGAATAAGAGAGTAGGTGTGTATCATTTATTAGTACTATTTACAATTCGCCGCTTTGCTAAATATCGCTATTATAACTTCACTAACTTGGGCCCGCGGATCTGGTTAACTAAATTGTTTGTTATAGGACACCCGTTTGCAAGAGCAACATGTTTTAGGTACCAAACGCGTTATATATCTTGTTTGAAACACATCGTGTGACATGAATTTATTATGTATTAATGCGAATCATTGAAATAAAATAGCCCGGGAGGCGGTCAATTAACATTAATCATCAGAAGCAATTAAATTCAAAGATAGAAAAATACATGAGATATATGAATTATGAGAATTAGCGGCACTCTGATTCTCGTAAAATGATTTGGATTTTGACGTACGGCACTCAAAGTTATAAGTCACGTCTTTCTGGCGTTTCGTGGCACCTTCTGTGTTACCAAATTTCATTAATTTATGTTTCTTTCTGCAAAGCTTTTTTGAAGAAAAAAAAGGTTTAAAAGCTTGTTTTTGTTCAAATGAACACTGAAGCTGTACTAAAGCCTCCGAGACAACTTTGAGAGTTGATATTTGTCAACGTTCCTTTTACCACACGCCAATTTAAACTTGGCAAACGATTTTTTTTCTTGTCGTTTTACTAACGTGATCTCATTTATTTGTTACGTAGAAACATACGTATTTTTGATTGACCGTTTTCCGTGGGAACTGAGTTAATGTTTTAATTTGGACTAAATAGTGTCGATACGATTTTTTCACAAATTGTATTTCAATGAAATTATCTGTTAGTTTTGTCAGTGTGTTTGTAATTTGGCTTAACGCTTTTTCGTTTATAACCATTTTTCTGCACTTTTTATTTAGCATGAAAATAGTTTAACATGAATACACTTACAGTACCTTTAGACATATATAATATATTTCTGCTATATTTTGTTGTATAGTGTATATTATATGTTCGTAATATTTTTGATGGATAAAATATCTCTTTGATATATTAAAAAACTGATGTAGGTCTAAATATGATACTTAGTAAGACTGTAAGATCTTGATTTTGAAATCAAACTGGCAAACGTTATGTCTTTTTTGTTAGAATAGTTTATATAAATAGTTCAATGCTGTCATATTATGTCTATATTAAATTGAATTAAGATGTGTAAATATTTGCAGGCAGTGACCGCCCGCGTTGCAACGGCGAAGGATCCGGTTCGCGTGAGCGGTCGCATTCGTTGAGTAGGTGAGGCGGTCGAGTCCGCCCGCTCTCCCCCGCTCCACGCCGCCCCGAACACCGGAAGTAAGAAGTGACGTCGCCGATGACGTCACCTCCTGAAAAATCGAGGCGGCCACGGCTGTACCGCTCCCCGCGGCGTCGTTGTATATAAACTTGTACATTATGAAGTGATAAGTGATATTTTGTCGAACATTAGATAATTTTATGTTGTGAATCGGTACTTCTCTATGTATTTATAAATAAAGACTGTTGGTCTCATTTCATATGTGTTTTTTAATTGGATAAATTTGAAACTATATTTAACAATAGTTTGTATACACATGTAACCTCAAATTGAAATTCAAATGCATATATCAAATGATGAAATTTATAAAATTCCTAATACATCAGTCTAAACCCACAACAAAATGTAACTCTCGGAAAATGTGCATAGAAGGCTGAACTCCTACACATTAAGCTTATAATGTTAACGGTTAGGGCAGTCTCATGCATAGAGTAGTTAAAATGAACACAGATCTTATGTGTATGTTTATTTAAGAAAAAATCTGTTGGTTATAAATTTTCTTTATTAAAAATTTACAAATACATTTGCAGTCATTCATTAAATTAAAATATCTCTAACATTTAGCAAATAAATAGTTTAGTTCACTAAAGTTCAGATATTTGGTCAAAATGGTTTAAACAATTATCAATAATTTAAAATCTTTGACAATAATACTCGGAATGTTTATTTCCAAAGATTCGACTACTATCTATCACAGTAATAAAATTAATTTATAAAACACCAATAGGCGATTACAAAAATTTAAGTACCATTATATTCTAAAAATTGTGAAATGGTAAGAAAATTACAAATATTTCAATGGACAACATTTACATCTTAAGCAGCCCGTTGTTCATACAAAAGCAGACCATATTATAATGGTTACAATTAAAAGCTGTGAGCAAGACGAAAAGAGATTTCCCTGTGATTATATATTATATATCAAATATATTTACAATATACTTTTATATATAATATATTAATAACATAATCGGTTAAATTGCACCCTTTCGTCTCTGTCAAATTGTGTTCACACTGTGATAAAGGAGATAAACTATAGTTAAAATGATACTGTTAATAATATACCCACCACGGACCCAATGAAAGTCAAAGTGCGGAAACTGAGTCCACCAACCATGGGTGTATATCTTTACGTGACATAAGAAATAAAGACGCATTCATAAGCTATGATTCAGAGTGAAGTGCAAACTAATCCATCTGTCAAACTCTTGACGGATTAGTTTGATTTTGACAGATGTAAGAGTTTGCAATAATTTGTTCTGAGTCTTCGTTAACAAATAAATACATACATCAAATGGCAAGGGAATGATAACCTCGTATCTCAAAAACCATTTTTTTTTTATTTTTAGACTCATTTATCTGGCATGAGGTAAGAACTTATGTATATTATTAATATATAAACGAACATTGATGAAATGAAACATTTTTTTCGTTTCCTGTAATGTTTGGTTCGGTAAAGCATTTATAAAAAGTGTTGCTTAAACAATGCTACTCAATTGATGGGTTACTAAACCAGTAGTAATATTGGGCGTTAAGGTGTCTTATTATATTTTGAATTATCTATAAATATAATTTAAACTCGGGCCATTCAAAATCATAATAGATGGTATAGCAATGTAGTAAGGGGAGTAAGCAAAATTACATTTGTTGCACATGTGGTTCGTCGTTAGGCCAGCCATATACAGGGGGTACCGCGGGCGAGTATCGAACGTCATACATTTGACCTCGGATGAAGGCTTCCGTGTCGTCAGGCTGGGGTTGCACCGAGGCTTTACCTAAAAAATATAATATTAGATATTGTGATTCTGTCCCAGTGATATAATAGATGCATATTGATTGTGTGTAATGTTCAACCATTTTTCCCCTTTCGTTGTTTTTTTATGTGCTTTATTAATTTATGTACAATTACTTCATACATATATCATAAAATATTTGTATGATTCAAAAAATCTATTTTTTTAAAGAACTTATAATAAAAGTCTAGGGGCTTGTCCTTTCCCAATTTAATATAATTGAAATCGGTCCAAGAGTTTTTGAAATTGTTCGTTACGATCATAAATCTATTAATCAAATTCATAAAGACGAAAAATATTCTTTAGCCAAATCTTACCAGTTTTGTACGCGTGCTCCACAATCTTCTTTGCAATCTTGACTGAACAGTTCTGAATGTCCTTTAGAGGTGGGTACAGACTGCCTTGGCTCAGATCATCATCTGAGACTATTTCAGCGAGAGCCTAGAATAGGACGTATATAAAAAATTGTTGATTCATAAATATTGTGCCCAAGCCGCAGTATCTAAATTTGTATTTCGGTTTATGGCTTCGATTTCCGAGACAAAATAGCGTAAAAAGAGTAAAGAAAACTTAAACCTTAAAAATATTAAACTAAATATTACCTCCGCAGCGAGCAGCATGAAGTCCTCAGAAATATCAACTATTCCCGCGCAAATAATGCCAAGTGCCAGTCCTGGGAAGATGTATGAGTTGTTTCCTTGTCCCGGACGCAGTATACGTCCGTCTTTAGCGCGGTATTCCGGGAATGGAGAGCCGGACGCAAATATTGCACGGTCCTACAATATCCAATATTAGTTAGCACATATTATATATATACGGATCTAGTCAACACTATCTTTTAACACTCTAATCCACACAAATATCTCTAATCTCCTTAAAATATTTTAAATTCAATGTTGGTGCCAATATAAATACTTAGTACTAAAATAATTTACTCCAAATTAATTAATTAATATAATAGTGTAAAATTTTTTTTTATATATTTGTATTAAAAAGTTTTTTATTTGTAGTTTACATTGATTAATGCCAAACAATAATATCTAAAGGCAGGCTTAAATTAATCTATGTAATTATAGTTTAATGAAGCGAGTATTGAAATCAGATACTAAATGTGTAAATTTTGACTCACGTCAGTATTGGAGTAGGCGGCTTCCGCAGTGCACTCAGCCTTACTGGTAGGATTGGACAAGGCAAAGATGACCGGTTTCTCATTATTTTCCCCCATACACCGAAGGATCTCTGGTGTGAACGCACCACCAATTGCAGCAGCACCTAGACGCCATAATCTCTTTGAATGTATTCCTATTTATTTTACCTAAAACCTAATGACCCAAAAAAAATGGCTAAGTGATTGTGAGAGCCTTGTGTACTCTTAATGATTATTCTTTTGTTGGGAACCGAATACAACACCTCCGTCATAAATAATACAGGAGGTGTAGCTATTTTAATACCAAAAGTATTTAAGAAGCCATACGTATACGTTTTTAAAAACTTTAAAATGTGAAACCTTTAACCTACATCCACTCTGTTACAAAAATAACTATTTTAACTTAGAGAAAACAAAACCAAAAAAAAATTAAAATTCTCTTAAGTTGAATAGAGAATAAAAAATAAATAATAATAATAATTATTATTTTTTTACCAATATTAAAAAACACTCGAAGGAGGAGTTTTACAATTGGACTTTTAAATTATATAATTCGGTAAGACTAGCGGACCCGACAGACGTTGTGCCTCATGATATTTCAAGCGATTAGGATATCAGACAAAGTATGAAATTACCGACTGCAGCGCCATCTGCCGAGCTGATTTTTGATTCTAAACCCACCCACTCCACGGCTCCACCCAAACGCATACAAAACAAATCATTCAAATCGGTCCAACCGCTTAAGAGGAGTTCAGTGACACACACGTCATATCTTTTAAGTTAGATCAAACTACACACGGTGTGCAAATTCGATTGAAATCGGTTAAGTGGTTTAGGAGTCCCTAGCGGACAAACAACGTGACGCATAATTTATATATATTAAGATAAGCATAAACACGGTATTTGTAAGTGTAATCAATAGTTTTGTATTGATACCAACTCACCAATAAGCACGGATGGCTTAGCCAAACTGACAACTTCAGCTAAGGTACGGACAGGTGGGTGATCCTTGGCAAACTTCGCCTTGTGCTCATTAAGACCACCTTCAGGCCTATCCTTCACGATCAGACCCTTGGAGTCCACCATCCAGATACGACTGCGAGCCACGGCTTCTTCTGTACCTTCGGCCATCATCGCCATCACACATAGCCCTGCAATACCTAAGGATGCCTGTAAAACACAATTGAGAGTCAGAACTTGCCACTTGGAAAACGTATTAGGTTTTGGAGTTTGGTTGTCTCTGTTTCTTTGTAATCAATTTTTGTCTATGATAGAAAATGCTATCAGCAGTAAAACAATCCATTCACATCTTATCCAGCTGATTTTTAATTTTGTTTTAGTTGTATTTATTTATTCAATATAATATTTATCAATTATATTTACAAATAAATATTCCAAAAATACCTCTGTGTCTGATTGTAAATCCTATAACGAATAACCTTCAGTTCCTATCAAAACAAGGTAAAGAATGCTCATCACCAACATGCTTAAATATCATGAGCAGATGTGTCTGCCTTGTTCTATTTCGAGCTAAACAAGCATTTCTCACCTCTCCAGCTCCTTGGAAAACAATGACATTTTCCGACAGTTTCTTGCCCGTCACTCTCAAGCTGGCCAGAAGACCTGCCACGGCCACCGCCGCTGTTCCTTGGATGTCATCGTTGAATGTGCAGTATCTGTGTAATTATTATTCATTGTAAAAACGTACTACGTACAATTAGCATGGTTTCTCATACAGGTAAAAAAATGAGAACAAATTTTAAAAGTTATCAAAATATGAACAGTAGTACCTGTTTCATTGATCGTTTTTCAAGGCAAAGTATTAAAGCTTCTTTGCCTTTCAATGCTAAACCATTATTGTTTCGCCAAGTATCGAACCAACCGATTCGACTTTAAGCGTTAAGCCATGGAGGCAGTGAAGATCTCATATACCTTTTATGTAGGGAATCGAACGGAGTCATTTTAAGCAGCCTCTGATTAGATAATACATATATATTAAAATAATTCAATATCTATCAATTATCATATCGCATCTATTTTTAAATGTGGCTGATAATATAAAAGATATTCATTTATTGTGGCAATAAAAATTTTTGATAGTGAATATTTCTCGTTTCCCTCTTATTATTTTTATATAGTAAGTTTGTCACGGTTGGTCGCAGGCTGTGCACTAATGGAGTTTCATTCTATATGCGCATTTAACATTCGCTCGAACGGTGAAGGAAAACATCGTGAGGAAACCGGCTTGCCTTAGACCCAAAAAGTCGACGGCGTGCGTCAGGCACAGGAGGCTGATCACCTACTTGCCTATTAGATTGGCAAATGATGATGACATATACAGATATCTGAGGCACAGAAAAAAGGTTGTAGCGCTATTGATTTATTTTTAATTTTAACTTAGACAGTGATTATTTAAATATTATTGATCTACTATTAATTGAACCAATATTATATTGTAGTTCTATACTCACTTGCCACGATACTTTTCGAGTAGGCGGAAGGCATTTGCATTACCAAAGTCCTCAAACTGTATGAGGCAGTTTTGTCCAAATCGGCGCACAACAGCCTTCATGAACTCATCTATAAACTCATCATAGGGCGCTCCACGAACGCGACGCTGTTTCAGACCGATGTATAGGGGATCGTCCAGCATTGTTTGTGTATTTGTGCCGACATCTATTGAAAAATACTACTAATAAAAGCTGAGATATTTCGTGTATTTTGCCATGAGATATAATATCTTAGCATAGGTGACGTTCCAATTACGATAATTAAATATGCTAAAATCCAATTCTAAATTTACTTCTGAACACTGGAATAAGTATACGATCTAACACCTCAAATTGTACATATGGTTTAGTTGATAATTACGTTAATTTGTTAAGCTTTCAGCGCACAATGGTTAGTGGTGAATGCGATTCGATCATGCTAATGAAAACGGCTAATTCATATCACATTGATTTTTAAAAAAGGAAAATTCTAGAGCCTACACAAAGAAATATTTTAAATTAATTCATAATCTTGACGGCGTTTATTTATATACGATTGTGTTCATGTTCAATGAACGCCAACAAAATTTAACCAAACACTATTTTAGCTTATTCTCTTTCTATCAAATTGTATTTACACTGTGATAAAAAGAGAGATTGTTAAATATTTTATTTTAAATGGTGTATGGCTTTTTTTAATTTTTATAGATAAAGAGGTAAGTTTACAGTGTGTCAGAGATCCAACTAGTTTGGAAAGTATATCAAAAAGACAAAACCTTTTTGTTTACAAAGAATACAATTATGGAAATTGAACTATATAAACCCCTAATTGATATACTGTAGTAATAAAAAAACTGGTTTTCATATCTTTTTTCTTGTGTGTGAATTATTTTGAATTTTAATTATAAAAAGGAAATAATCCAATTAACGATTACGCTAGTATCGACTCAATATCACTCAAAAACAAAATTAAACTTACCAAGGGTAATTGGCAAACATTGATGCGGCTTGATACCAGCTAAAGCTGTGTACAAAGCTAGCTTTCCCACAGGAATGCCCATACCACATGCACCGAGATCTCCCAATCCAAGAATACGTTCACCATCAGTTACTACGATTGCTCGGACATCCGTTTCCGGCCTAAAAACAGCAAAAACACTGAATATCGCAGATCGTATTTGGTTAGTTGTATATGTACATTTTCATATCTGAATTATTAGTATTCATAATAATTGTAATTGTAAAGCATAGACCTTTTTCCTGCATTATAAAATTGTCTATATTCTTTATGCATTTGCCCTAATTGTACTTTTGATTTGGACTACAGGCTTTTATCGACAGAATTAATAGCTCTAAAGCGTGAAGTACACGTTGGGGGAGAAAGTAATCGCTTTAATAAATATGCGACTCTCCAGAGAAAGGGGTTTCGACCTGTTTGTTCTTTAATCAAATTTAGGGTTCACTTGTATTGAAAAGCTTCAAGCTTTCTTAAAAAATTGCTTATTAAACAATAATCTACATCTATGAATACGAACATTGCGTATACAGTTATATACTTAACCATCATCATCATCATCATCATTTCGTTTGATAAATATTTTCCACTTACAACAATCTAGTAGGTACTTTGTTTATGTGAAGATCAGAAGTCACTCGGTAAAAGCTTTTTCATGGATGTTAAAACATAAAAATCTTCATAATAGCAAGCGTAATATTAAATACCATTTATAAATATTAAGTTAGATCGTATCAACACTTATTAAAATAAACTGAGTCTGTTTTCTTGATTATACCAAGATAATTAAAAACGCGCTTTCAAAATTAGAAATTTTTCCTATTGTTGAAGAGAGCATTTGGCCTAATATGAGTGACTGAACAAAGACGGAGCTACGAAGTAATCCCCAAACAAACTTTTTCCAAAGGGAGCGTAATAAAAGTATTACGCTCAGATGAAACTGGGTCACATGATTCTTGCAAACACTTAGTCAAAGAAACTGATAAGAGGCTCTTAAGATATTTGCCAATTTGCTTTGGGATAAAATATAAATAACATACTTATAACAAATATAAATTCGAAGTAAAAACAAATAATATTTTACCAGTTCTTAAGTATATCGTAAACGTGACCCTTATCGTGAATTGTGATGAAAAGCCCTCTGGGACGGCGATACACAAGTCCATATTTCTGGCAGGCAAGACCTACTGTTGGTGTGTAGACGATCGGCATCATATCTGCTACATTCTCACCCACGAAACGATAAAATAGATGTTCGTTGCGGTCCTGAATAACAATGATTAACAGTTGCAGAAGCTTTCAATAACAAGCAGTGACGTAACTATACCATCTGGGGCCCGTGGCAAATTCTTTCGATGGCGCCCTATCAGTAAAAATCGTCACGTACTCAGTTTAATTTTAATAAACTTCGAGATTTACGGCGTACTAAATACACGTTGTATATGTCCCACTAATGGCCATAGGCCTCCTCTCTTAGGCGAGAGGGAATGGTCCCCACGCTAGCCCGATGCGTATTGGAGACTTCACATTCATCCATAGAACATAATATCTCTTGGTCAGGGGCCCTCTTGGGTCGGGAATATATAATGCTATTCCCGAGTTCAGAAGTGAAATAGTACTACTACTAAAGTTAATGTTTGCAATGTTATTTTTTTCTATATGAAAATAACTTCTTACCAATAATCCCATAAGATAGATGTACTTGTTAAGGGGATCTTCATATCTTTCGATTGAAAGCTTGCACAGATGAACTTGCTCCTCTTGTGACTTGACCCTGGGTGGTAAAAGACCATGGATTCCCATAACTTGACGTTCTTCGATGCTGAACGCCATTCCCTAAAAAATAAGTAAGACTTTAGAACACTTATTATTTGTATATCACTTTCCACGGGTCACACCAGAGTGCTGAAACAGACCCGACAGTAAGAGGTCGATTCGAAAAAGATATTATCATTAAGTACTTTAAATTGCAACAAATTAAAAGTAAAGGGTTTGTTTTTACTGAGTCTGTTCAATATTTGTTTATTAGTTTATTTTATGAGAGATGTAAATGTATTAAGCCCGCAATGTACATCGTTCAATGCGTTAAATACTGTTTTTAAATGTTATCGTTTAACAATCATCATTAAATCAGGATCAGCTCATAGCAGAACAAAAATATATTACTACAAAAATATGCATTACATTACCATAACTAAAAGATCAATTCAATTTAATGCGTTGTTTTTCCTTCGTTAAAAATTGCGTGGAAAATTTGCGCGTATGAAAACAACGCAAAAATGTCAACAAGCCGGCCTGCGTACAAATGCCTATATGGAATATAATCTATATAATATTCATATTCGTATATTGGCCTATATAGTTAAAATTACGAAATATTTTAAGCAAATTGATTCTTAACATCTATCCTTATTCATGACGTCTTTTAAACGCATTCCTTTTCCTTAAAAATTATAATATAACAATACCCATGACGTGTTCAATTTTATATGTCCTTGACATGCGTACGTGCGAAACCGGGCCTCGCGGAAGTATCAGCTGATGGTGACGTCATCAAGGTGACCGCAAGTGACCTTTGATTCACCTCGCACGGTAAAAGCAATCGGTAACAGTAAGACATTAGTCCCATATTTCGTAGATATTTAAGATGTCCAGTAATTCTACTAAGGAATAAACAAATTTTTCTTTTATATAAGCAAGGAGCTATCATACCATACCAATTCAATAACAAGCTTAGGACATTATGAAACGCAATAAAATCTTATTATGACCGTCTACTTAAAACCAGGATCACTGGTCTATACATAGTCGGTCCCAAAGTTCTGTCATAAATAGAAATAATGATAAAAACTAAAGTACTGATCAGTTTTTAATGAGTGATATATCAATTAATAGTACATACATTAAGAAATAGAAATAGCATAAAATTATTCGAAATGACCTCCCTTATTTTTAATACAGGCCCTTAAGCGCCGCGGCCAGTCTATCGCAGCACGCACCATATTCATGTCGATTTCAGTGACTGCTTTTTTTAAAGATGACTTCAGACACTCCAAATTTTTATGGGGTTTATCACAGACCTTCCTCTCTAAGACCTGCCAAATTTTATAGTCCAAAGGATTAAGGTCTGGACTGGAGGAAGGCCAATCCTCATGTCTAATTAAGTCGATGTTTTGACGCTCAAACCAGGTTTGAGTGGTCTTGGCTTTGTGTGCAGGCGCAGAGTCCTGTTGGAACACAAAGTGATGTCCCGAAAATAGCGTGCTGGGCAGGTCTTTGACAAGCTGGTCCAAAACCGTGTCTTGATACACTTTTGCACTGGTTTTGACCCCCTTTTCGCAAAAATGAACCTCAGTTGGCCCGTAATAGGACACTCCCAACCAGACCATTACTGATGATGGATGATGTCCATGTTGCACCCTCGGAACTTTATTTCCAGCTTCTTCAGAACTCCTAGCGTACACTCTATCATTCTGTTTATTGTACTTCTCTTCAATATCGAAAAATTTTTCGTCCGTAAAGAGGATATCACGGTGTCGGTTTTTCGCGTACCGCTTTAACAAACCCCGCGATCTCTTAAGCCTTATTGCTTTTAGACGAGCATTAAGTAGGTGCCCACTCTTTCTTTTGTATGCCCGTAGACCAAGATCTTCATTTAAAACCTTTTTACTGTTTTCCTACTGACACCCATCTGCAAAGCCATCAACTTCTGTTTTCGGACAGGATTTCTTGCTATCCGCGCCTTGATAGCTTTGATCACTGCTGGTGTCCTTGCGGAGCGTGGCCGGCCAGTTCTTTTCTTGTCCTCAACACTGGAGACTTCATTGTACCTATCAATAGTACGGTACACAAACCTAAGCGTTATATTTAAATTTTTGAGCAACTTGAAAATGGTACTCGCCGAGTGCCCACAGCGGTGCAACGCAATAACAGCTATTCGGTTTTCTTTCAATGTCCACTCCATCTTGAAAATTTACGGAAAGTGATTGTTTTTTGTTTTAAAACAATAGTCAAACAATCAGAAATAGAATGCAATAATTTTTTTATAAAATCATGTTCGTAATTTAAAAATAATGTGCCAGTGACAGAACTTTGGGACCAACTACGTACATATATAATAAAACAAACTCTAAATTTTTTGTAATGTCTGTATTGAGCTTACAAAATAGGCATTTTCATAGAAGTCTGAAATGTATGTTTCTCAATCGTTTTTATAGATCTTTATTAATAATTAAGGCTATGATAATAAATTATTATCACATCACTGCAGGCCTTTAAAAATATATGACTCAACATTTATAAAATCGATAAAATATACACCTAGCCAACACCACATATGTAGGCCATAGCTTCAGGCGGCTTATATATCGGCATTGATCTGTATATAATAATCATATAAGGCCACATAACACGGTACTCTCTAATTATCTGGCCAACCTTGCTTGAGGGCTCGAACACTATGTTCTAGAACAAAATTCGAGAATGTATTCCAATATAACCTTTAAACGTTTTAATACACAGGTTGACTTCTCTATCTATTATATATATCTATCTAATGAAAAAAATTATTAAATATAAACTCTATTTCAGCTTTTCTTGTAAGCTTCTTTTACCAAAAAAAACTAATACAGCAAATACCAACTGTACTAAATCTATACACTCTCCTAGTGTACCAGTCTCAAATGTATTAATTAATTACAAAGATATTTAAAATGAAAACATTATTTATCTTAAATTGGCCTATAAAAACCACTTACAACAACTTATCTAACAAGAAAATCATAAATGTTTTATTTTATCTTAGTTGCCGACCGCGTTCACAAGTAATACGTATACGACATAATGCCTATAGTTAAACTAAAACATAATCTATAAATTACAATATAAGACGGTTAAAACATGTTCCCTATGAAATTATATTTCACAATTCAATTTAATAATGCTCACGAAAGCGGAATTTCCGGACGTAAGTAATTTAAAGTAATTAAAATTGAAAAACTCTCTAATATTGCCACATTACTCTCACAAAAGTTTAAATTTAACAACTTTGATTGAATCTAGAAGTAATTACGTAAACTCTAAAATGTTTGAGCCAAAGCATTCTTAAAATTAAAACATTTATGATTTTCTAGTTAGAAAAGGTGTTGTAAGCGGTTATAGAAACATTTAAATTCAAACCGACACGGCAGACATTCGGTAAATCGTAATTAATCCTAAAGAATAATGACGCACGTCTCACGTCAAAAGTAACGCCGGCAACACACTCGCTACACCGTCTGGCATTGAGTGTCCATGGGCGGTATCACATCAGATGAGCCTTGAGCTTGTTCTATTAAAAAAAGCGCGTGTCCACGTTACTTCAGTACTTTTAAATACTGGAATCTATATATAATATATATATATTTGTGACCTTCAACACCGCAATACATTTACATTTATATATTCTTAAAATACCTTTATTGTCGGTAACTTTCCAGTATCATAAACAATTCAACGTTTTATATAACACTTAACGTGATGAGTAATTTCGCTTTAACACCCGATTGAACGTCGCAACTCAGGATGAGATTTAGTATTCCGACTATATGTGATTCTCCTGTCCAATAATATTGATCACCCCTAGACTTGGGCAAAATATCAGGCACAGTCTTATCACCTACTTGTCTATAAAAGAATGATCTAAGAAACAGATGCCAATACTTACTATTAAATTTTTATATGGTTTTCTAGGACAAACTCAATAAAAAATAAAAACATGTATGATATGAACATGTGAGTAACTAGGAAAATACGTAAACCACAGATTAAATAATTTATTATATAATCGAAAGGTAATAACAATCGTATAATTTTACTGATTTAGTACTTATCCGTTTAAGTAACTAAATTATACAATTACATTTACTTTTCCATAAACATACTATTATCAATTATTGAAAGAATGTCAAAGGCCATGGGTTGATACTGTTACAATCTTCTACAACAGTCTTTTACAATTGTTAGGTGAAAGGAACGCGGACGATTTGAACCAGCCTTCAACATCTGAGCAATAATTCCCGCACGAAATAGTCATAATATTGAAGTGAGCATTAATACCTCGTATTAATGCCTCGTCGCCTATTCAAATGATTGCTTAATATGCAATACGCGTTCAGTGGAGGCACGGCTCTGACGTGTTATAGTATGTAGGTATGTAGGCTAGCTAATGAAAGCAAAATTCACTATTATCCTACTCTGTATAGAGTAGATTCCGGTAAATGAGCGGCCTTTTATTCAATTACCAAAATACTACGAGACCTTTTCTATATAGCTTTCTTATCAATTATTTTATTTAGAGTCCGAGTCCTATAAAAAATAGGTACCTCGATGTAACATTTGTACTTGCTTAATGCGTGTATATGTACGCAAATATTTAAATATTAGAATATTTAATGTATAGCCGAATTTTTTACATATTTATAAATTACTTATTAATGTCTCGTGCATTAGTGACATATAAACAGGATCTATATTAAATTAAAGTAATCAAATAAAACACCAGGACTTCATGATGAACCAATTTCAAATGAATGGCAGACCAAAAGTTTACCGATAAAAAATTATCATTTCGTAATTTGATGCTACGTTTAACAATTTTATTTAACCAAATTTAATGAAAATTAATTAACGCCAACGTAAGATTCAATTACACAATAGACACTTTCAAGTAAGTATATGATTTAAGATTTTGAACATTTCACAACATGTTACAATTGCATCATCCAAATATAAATTACCCGTGAATCATGAGCTGCTAGGCAATCCGGAACCGAGTAGATTTCACGTCGGGGTGTTAGCTGCCACCAATCACGTTCCATATTCCACTTATAATGTATAACAGTATGGTATTTATAAGAGATTGCGTTTAACCTTCCTTTGAAATTGAAGCTTCAATTGAAACTGCAATACTGAGCGAACAGTTGCGTTTTCAATCGATATTCATTTGCGGTTTCAATTTTTAAATAGAAATATAATTGCCAAATAGATATTACAGCGCAAGCGTCCCTCGTAGTTATTATCCATATTTATATAACGTTATAGATGACTAGATTTTCAAAACTGAAATTGAAAACTTCTTACGATTTTATACAACAACAATATATATAAATGTTAAATGATTAAGTTAATACTTCAGAAATTTGAGCTACTGAAGAGCTTCTCTAACGCGGTGTCCTGCGTAAGCGACGAATACAACGCGACGCGATGCTGTGAACGCGACCAACGCAATCAAATCAACGGCATACCCTACTTACGGCCTATGTGACAGTCTGCGGCGAGATGCGACGTCACGCGGACTTGTTTTGAGGGCGACCAGACGCGACACTACGAACTATGAAATGGTTGATTCTGAAGCGTTGATCGCCGCAGTGCGTGAGCAAAGATTGTTGTGGGACAAAAAACATAAACATTATAGGAATCGTTTATTAGTAACACTCCACAATATTGTTTAAACATTTTAGAATCGTTTCTTAATTTTGGATATAAATGATGGAACTCGCCAAATGTGTTTCTTTGTAAAAATATTATATTTGGTTTTTTTTCTATGCTTTTTACGATATTTTTTTAAAAGTCTATATTTTAAGTATGAACTTTCGAGCAAAATTGTACTGTACTTCTCCATGATTCGAGAAGTAATGACCAAATTACGTAGGACATTCGTCGCGTGTAGCATCGCGTCGCATTACGTCGCGTCGTGTTGCGTCGCGTCGCGTCGTATTCGTCGCTTACGCAGGACACCGCGTAAGTAAATGATAAATTTCAGGAACGACCCGAGTGCGATAAATTGTAAGCGATTAAAATAATTATTTTGCTTTTCTCTCACAATAAAAGGGGGCTTTTTTAATACAAAAATACGTAATACATACGAAAGTAAGTTTATTTGTTCCTTATACTTTTTATTTCTGCTTCTCGCAGAAAGACATGCAACAAACCGTAAATTGAAAATTCGTTATAATAGATTATGAATTTATAATTTAGAAATATTTTATGCATAATCATCAAATTGCGTATTATAACGTATATCTGATTGTATTACACCGCAATCAACAAATATCAAATCAAATCATTTGATAATACAAATGAGTAATGACATTCGTAAAAACTGAACTAATTAAAAATGTAATTTAATATATAAATCTTTAAATGTAGAAATATAAACTCGGGCCTATACAGACTTAGAATAAAGTATTACAACGCAAAATTGTTATCAACATAAAATATGCTTTGCATCACTTTAAATCACTTTAACCTGTCAATTATCACCGCTAACTGATACCACTTTACAAAGACAACTCAGTTGAAATCCACCTATCCATTGTAATCTGGTAACCATGGCAACTGATCCTAACACTAGATCAATATATCTGGTATGGCACTATTATGTTTTGTACTAATCACGTATACCGCAACGCCAATTTGAACAAAGCACACATTTCGTATCATATCTGATAACGTTGATTAGAAAATGAAAAGGATGCGTGGATAGAAAATAGTGTACGCATCGCATTGTTTAGTAAAATTTTAGCCAAGACATGAGGAAGTTTGTATTAAGTAATCTTTGGAAATATTACACCGTTTTAAAGTATTTACCAGTAAACAGTTATAACCTCTTTTTATATAATATATAGAAGTTATAAATATTATAAAACCGGGCATACAACATTCAATTTGTATAAGAAAAGAAAATTAAATTCAACACGGCCATAGTCGGCATTTCCTGTTTCCTATTCGAACCAATATACTTCAACATCCCTTCACAACACACGTTTTTCTACTGTTGACATAAAAAGCAAATATTGAATCGTTTAAATCTTGTACATCCGCTTTTCACGATTGCCTGTTTCATTTAATTCACGTTTGTCTTGCTTTTAATTTCAAATTCAACTTGTATTCTTAAGGTCGAATTTTGTATTAGAATAAGTAGTGACTCAATTCAAAGATGGTAGTTCCCTTATTAGATTAGTACATCACGCTAACACTAATTTTGTTGTGTTATCGTGATCTCGAAGTGTTGCATTCGTTGATGTAAAATTAAGAGGCGATAAATGAAACAAGTACTTGAATTTGTAAACAACAACAACAAGAGTATTTGCTAAGAATTATTAAGATGTTTACGGTCTTGAACCTGAATCGTTGTAGGTACTTCTGTAAATATTGCGTACCTATGTGTGTGTAAAAGACGCATTGTGAATGTTGTTATAAACATGTTTGTGTCCTTATAATTTTAAAGGAGAACCTATTTCAATAGTCTTTGTTACTTTGAAACTTAACTTTGGTACTTTGAAACCGCGGAATCTAAGAACAAAACCCATAATATTTATTTAGACTAAAATTAAATAAAATCTTTTTTAAATTCAGAACAGGGCAGGGCAGATACGGACAGAGAAGGCTCACCTAGTGATAGCAACACACCTGCCAGAATGCACGCAAGTGCGTTGCCGGCCTAAATTTACTAGTACATAAACACTTAATAGACAGAAATAGGTAACATGGATAATATCTTATTTTCTCATAGTTTTTCATATAAATTATTTTCAGTTCAAAAAGTTTTATGTGTTCAAAGTTTAAGAACGCCTCTACTGTCAATACTCAACTATTCTTAGTTAACAACCATATTATTAACAACATAAAATATAGTAAATAATTCAATCTATCAATATATATTATATAATATATATTGATAGAATTACATAATATAAATTTTGTAATATTTATTCCTTGGAAAAATATTGTATCACTAAAACGTATGGCATTTTTTACTAAAACACTATACAATTATGACCACTGTATGAATGACAAGCAATAAATAATGACAAATGTATTAAATAGTCCAAATCACTTTATATTAAGTTAAATATTTAAGTACCCCGTTTTTTACAAACCCCTTTTTTGGACCAACCCTTACGTGGTAGGGTGAATGTGCATTGAAGTACTAGACTTATTGATTATACTGTGAGGGTTGATACCACGTTATATGTTGAGCCCAATATGAACTCATATTACATTATGCAACCATAGTAAAGACTAACATCTAACCTACCACATGTTATTAACTGATTTCATACCCAAGGAACGTGTATTTGCTATATTATTTTTTTTATATAATAGTTTTGTTTGAATAAAATATTCCAATATTCAATTTGATGGATTACTCGAATAATTAAAGTTTGTTGACACCACTTGAACTTTTATTTTTGCATAATCCATGCTTACGTCAAAGATTAGTTGAATATTATCACTGTTATGACAATAGTACAGCTGACGGACACTTCCGCAATAATTTTTATGCTACCATGACCTAAAAGTAGTATGCAACTTACCTTGTTTAGTCCCGGATGCTTCAGACGGTCGAGCCCGGATAACCGGCTATTGGATTGCCCGTCCCCGGAGCCCCAAACACCAATGCGATCGCGATCCATTTCGTACGTACACGTCCAATCACTGGCAGCAAGCGACTGTTTGCCAGCAATGAATGGTACGCGAGTTTTGTCACGCGGCGCGGGGGGCGCTGGACTCATCGCCGATTCACTCCTGGGAAAGCAGGAAAATTTTCAGCACACCGTACCGAGATATCAACCACGATATGCGGTTTCCTGCCCGTGATAAGAGATGGCGCTAGGTCGTTAACCTTACTATCAGAACTATCATGTTTTGTGGTTATTTAATAGGCATTTTCAAATTTTCTGACCTACTTCATAAAAATTATAAATTTTATTATAAAAATTTAAGTATTCTAAGTTAATTAGTTACTGGGCACGAGTATAGAACTATAGACCACAAAAATAAGGAAGGAAGGATAATGATTTAAATGAGTTACTTGAGTTAAAATTTATGTTCAGCTTAGTGTATATACGTAATAAAATGAGCCAAACAATAATTATAATGATTTAATACTACCTACGTCAAAATACAATTTAGGATAAAAAAGATCAATAAAGATTCAGAATATAAGTACATGTATTATTTATACATTGTGCGTTATTTACAATTGCAGTTGAAATTCCAAAAGCTTAGTTTACTTATGAAAAAAATCCAAGCCGCGGAAGGCAAATTCTATCTGAGAAACAAATGATTTGGATAATATCAATATTGAAAAATGTAATGATATTCAAAATGAAACGAGGCCTACCTATTCCTAAACAGACTACTCTCGAGTACACACTGCCCTTCCCTATCACAAGGGCACGTCATTTGCTGAAAAAAGATATTTCAAACTCAAATACAGATTGGAATTGGGTGGAAAATAGCGACCCTATTTATACCAACAAAGGTTGATTATTACTTAAAGCTTTCAAAAATTCTAGTTGGCTCTGGAGATATATGTAAAACTTTGAATACCTACATAACTCTTATATTTTTATTTACATAAATACATAGATTATTATATTATAGACTATGCCAATACGATAAATTCGTGAAAAAAATATAATATTAAACACATATTATACACAATATCGCTACTGTGAATTCACTCTGTGAACATATAAATATGTTGATAGTGTCGGAGACAGCATTCAGTAGGCGCAACGTCTTTGTTAACGGGGATCTGTGCAACAGACTTGTTCTAGCCCTTGGTATGGCAAACAACCTTGTCTTTCGCCGTCGCACATATCCCATAGGTACATAGAAACTGAGTTCTTGGAGCACACTTGGGTTGTACATTACCCCCCGCAAGACTTTTATTACATTTTTGTAACCCACCAACCCAAAGACAAATAATGTTGTAATAAATTCGCATGTTAAAGTTTACTCTCGTAAACCAGGCTAGTTTTCATTGAAATTTGTAATATATAAGGTGATCTTTATAAATAAATGTCCGAAGCGTACAGATACTGTTAAAGAGATTTTTTAACTATTTTATTTAAAAAAACTTTTTAACAATAAAACTAAAATATTTAAAATATAACGAGCTCGAACATCGGTGCTAAAAAGTAATATCTTGTAATGATAACTATGTAAATTAATTTTATAAATTGTAATCAAAAACCATAAAGTGCGATATATTTTATTGACCTTTCCACGCAATTACATAACGATGACTTGTAAATTATAATTTAATCGCTGTGTGGGGATTTTTAACTATAAAATTAAATAACGAAACAAATAAAAAGTTACCAAATTCTTCTTGGCTTCAAGTAGACACCTTTTACAGATCGCGTCAAACCTATACAGCACAAAAGTAATTAAAAAAAATAACACACATTCTGCCTACGTTAAAAGAAAAATTGGTCATTATGGGGGTATTATTCATTCTCTTCTGTTATACTTTAGGGTTGATAAACCACGAACATGTGAAATTATAACTTTACCAAGGCATCTCAAGCAACCTACCAATGTATATTTATTAAATAACATATACCTAATATTGTGTATATGCGGTACTTTCCCATTTTCTCACTATAATTTCATTGCGGATATTTGAAAAATTAAAGCTCTCACCGTTTATTTCGGAGGCCTACAGTCGCGCCATTCATTTGACGTGTGTCAATTTGACCGTTTGACTTCACTTTACGCGAAAGGAATTCCATTTCAGAAAAGAGATTTTATATCACTACTAACAAAAGGAAAACCAAGATGCTTGCAAACTGAAGGAGAGGCCCATACAGAGCCAGAGCTCTCTAAATGACGACTGGAGTAATTTTCCGGGATAATCTCATTAAATAGTGTAATTTCACTTATCAATAAGCAATTTAACGCAATATTATATCGTGATTTTTAACCTTTTACCTCGCGAGCACGAGATGCGATAAGTGACTAGTCGACGTAAAAGGTAGTCTTTAAGATTTAAATTTCATTAAATGTTTTGGAAACAGCTATTAAACAACGATTGCATTGGTGCCATATTTGCCTGGATTATACCTTCCACTATGCCATAATGTATGTTTTTCTTAAAGAACAGGGGGCAAACGAGCTGGAGGCTCATCTGATGTATGTAATCTGAGTTTGTGTATGGTATTTTTCTATGAATTTTTCACAATAAATGATTGTGATTTAAGCAACTCTTAATAATTTATTTATTTATTGCCAACACGGTAATGTATGGTAAACAATAAAATACTATGTTTAATGTGACAAGCACAAACAAAACATACAAGAAGAGGCGAGTTACAATTCCTTCACAATTGTGTAATGTTTTGACTACGATATTTGATAAACTGTACTCGATTTTATAAACTAATTTGTTCGGGTATAAGATAAAAGTACACACTGAATTTCCTATTACGTTATATTTTTCCTCATCGAAACTTTACATAGGTATTCAATAAAAAAGTTTAGAAACAATAGTAAATTTTTTTCAACGAAACCAATTGTTTTTTCTGTTAAGCAATTTTCGTGGCGTGGTGGACACTATCTCGCGAATATTAGTCATGATGCTAAGATTCTGAGTCGAGACTTAGGCAAACATGGCTTTCGTATATCAAATCCAATACGTTTTTGTCTTACGTCTGTTATAAACTCTAAATCTCTGAATTTTACCAGTTCAAAATTTTATATTATAGGAATATAGTAAAATAACAGAAGACGTAGCAATCATTTTCTAAGACTAATCAGTCTCGCTATTAACAATTGAAACGGCCCATACAAAGAACTCTCAAGAACTTTATCTGAAAATGCGATACACATTGTACTATTTTTATTATAAGGTAAAATTTAACATTATCACGAAATCTTATCTCTATCGACAATCCCGTATATTTTATTATACGTTATTCAATTGAATAATGTTATATTTCGATTGCTATGGGCTTATCAGAAACATTGTATACGAGTATGTATGTATTATAAGAAAAAACTAAACCTTTGACATTTTTATTAATATAAGAAAAAACAATCTCGTTTTTAATAATATAATTTATTAGAACTGTGAAATAACATAATAAAATAGTAAAAAAGCCACCGTAAGCCACTGATTCATGATTGAATATATATCCATAAGATTTTCTTGGATAATTCGACATAAGTGCTTCATATGATACCTACAAAGTAGGAGTCGTTATCAGGGCATATCTAAGCGCTTTTGCGATCTTCGTGACTCTCCCGTGTCTCGGTGATATCAAGGGCATTGAGGAAATTAAACAATATTATGACTTTCATAATGACAACGTTATTATATTTGTAGTTAATATAACTGTTAAGCCACTTTGCACTCAGATACAAATTGCCAATTATAATGCCCTACAGCATATAGCAATCGATAAAACACATATTCTAGGAAATTAGCAGTGAACTTATATTATTTTTGTTAGTTAAATTTTTATTTTCATCCGGTCCTTTTCAACATTATAGTTGAGGCTTTATCCCGTTTATCCAAAAAAATTTCGTAACTGCACCGTTCCAACCTATTATATTATCTTTAGTCATTGATTTTAACTAGTTTATTTATTGTCGTTTTACTTTTTTACTAGTTATTATAGTGTTACTTTTCACTAACGCGAATCCACGATTTTACAGACGAAAAATAAAAGACTGCAATTACGCTGTATTTATGAATAAGACTGGACAAGTGAAGTATAGTCAAATTTAATTCCTGTAAATTTTCCGATAAATTGAGTATTGTAAAAAAATATTTGTATCGTTTTCTGTATTAATATAAAAAATATACAACAGGCACCAAGTAACAATAATATGCTAGTTATGCTATGTGTATGACCAACCTTTCAAGCCTTATTTAACCTTAGCTTTGTTCAACCTTTTTAATTATATGTAGCTTAGCATGAACAACTTCCGATAGAAACAAGTGGCAGGAAGTTGCTGTATCTATGTGCATTTTTCAAGGTTTATTCACTTTAATTTAAGCCTTTCTTTTTTGCTTTATGTACTCTGCCGTTAGAGTATTTAATCTGGAATATGTATTTCTACTTTGACAGTATTGAAGGAATTGCAGGACAAAACCTAGCACATTACCATTCGTAAGCCGAATTGTCTAACAATTAATAGATACATATATTTTCCTGGCCCTTTTATTTACATCAAATAATTGAAAGAAAATTTATTCCATTAGCCAATTAAACCATATAAGAAATATTTGCAGTAAATACTTTTTAGTGAATTTGTTGTTATTTTTTTTTTCGAATGTGTAGTTCAGTCAAAATTTTAGTTTTTTACGTCCCTATTCAGCTTAATGCTATTAGATTTAGCAGACACTTCACAGCTAAGTCAGGGTCGTCACGCTTTAAAACGGCCGTGTTCTTATTAATACGGTGCTCGAATTATTTGTCAATTTTAAATTACAGGTGCGTTGGATTATCTAAACTTAAAGAGGTAAACTTTGACGGCCTTTATTTACGTTGACTAAAAATACATAATTACGTGTTTAACATAACTAACTGTGGTAACTATACTATCTTAACATACCTATATATATTACGTGCCACGTTGTTTGTCCGCTATGGACTCCTAATCCTAAACTACATAACCGATTTCAATCAAATTCACACACCGTGTGCAGTTTGATTTTAAAAGATAGGATAGCCTTCATATATATATAATTCTACTGTACGTGTGTATGTTACTGAACTCCTCTTAAACGGCTGGACCGATTTAAATGATTTTTTTGTATACGTTTCGGGTGGATGGTTTAGAATCACAAATCAGCCCGGCAGATGGCGCTGCAGTCGGAACTTTCATACTTTGTTTAATATCCTAATATCAAGCAGGACAACGTCTGTCGGGCCCGCTAGGTAATTATATGGAAAAGAACTAGTAGGCTTTTGCATTCTCATTACTATACTTTTTATTCTGGCAAAATCTGCGGTATTAAAATTTACCCTTTAATCTGTCACCTAGTTGATAACTAAGGAGTGAGATGTGTACAGCAATTCGTGAGCGATCTAATAAATGGCACACTCACGATTGTACCAATAAGGACTATTAATCTTCGTCAATAAAATATAAATGAGAAGGCTTGAAGATAATAGTTTTGGTAGTTATATTATTTTATTTCTTCTCACTGTAGGCAATCCTTTCCTAGGTACTCTAAATACTGAAATAGACGTGATTGACGTTTTTTTTGCATGATATACATCTTAAGTAACAAGATAGGTATGAGTATAAGAACCATACTAAAGAATGTTACACGTAGGGATAGAAGGAGAAGGGAGGTATGTGTATCTGGCGGTAGAAAACAAGGAAAATGTAGTAACATTTTCAGATATTGTTTTGTTAACAATGCTATCCTGAAATGCAGTTATTGTCCATTGTTCATTCGATGCTTTACCCGATTTACGAAGAACAATAAGCTGTTTTATTTATTTACATGATAAATTATATACCTAAATAATATTATGTATAAACTTATATATAAATAAAGAATCGAAAATTAATTTTTAAAATTTGAAAAATAGTTTTATTTAGAACTTAGGTTTATATTTCGGAAAGCGAAAAAATCATATTAAGACGAAAGAAAGTTTGCGGGGCAACTAGTTTTATATAAATTTATTATTGCACACTCGAAACATGAGATAATTTTACTTAAAAAGAATATATGTAGTCTGGCGGCAGTTATCGTAATTAAGGCTACTTAAATGGTTATTTTAAGTGGTTGTGTTATAATAATTATCCATAAATATCAATATAATATAACCATATAAGATCGATGCCTACTCATAACGCTACAATTGTATATATATTTATATATGTAAGCATAACATTACGATAGAATTTAATAATACAATCATTTGCCGTCTATGCTAGTCCTTAAGCAGTATTTCCCTTTTATATATATATATATATATATATATTTTATTGTTTATTAATCAATTTATAGTAAAAACTTACTGCCATTTTCTTTTGTCGTTAACTTTAAGTGATGCTGAATTTCCCATTTTAAATCACTAAACTAAATAAATATAGTACGAAAATGTAAGGAAACGTTTGATACGTCTCAGCCATGCAAAATCAGGTCTTACTATAATCGCAATGTTATTGCAACAAATCAGCAGACGGTGGCCATGACTTTCCCTCCAATCGAGATTGAACATTAAAATGTTACTATTTTCTAACGTTTCTTTATGAAAACCTTTAGACATGCGTTAAGAAATAACAAAATGTGTTCAACCGGATTCCTAAATACCAGTGGTCGTAGGAATACTGACGCTTTAGTTACAAATCCACGAGAATATTAATGACAAATTATTTGAGATTTTTCCACGGGAATTTCTATCCTATTCAAATCTATCAATGATCTAGGTAAGTATACATATTATTTCAATAGACATTAATGTTTGACTTTGCTTTCTCGTATGTGAATGTGTTTACATAATATGTAATTTGCTAAATTACTAGATATCCTTCAGTTATTATAAAATGAAATACATTTTAAGCGAACACATTACAATATTCCCAAATTGAAATTTAATTTGGCGGTAATATGTCGCAGTCTTCAGAGCTTAATTAGCCGTTCAATTAATAGCCTAGTCTTTTAACTAAACCACAGTTTAACTTACGGCCTGAATGATTTTCAGCCGTAGCGTTTGTTACAACATTTAGTAAACTGGCTGGCTATTGGTTAATGCTTAGGCCAATCGTACGATAGAGTCATTATTCGGCAGAAATAAAAAAGATAAACATATGACATTAAAAATATTTCTTTTAAAATTAAATTGCTTAAGTAAAACATTGTTATTGTCACTACACTCTTCCATTGTACTTGTTGTTTTTCCATGCAAATTTGGAAAACACCATCAAAGTTGTGGTTTGCCGATGCCATATTGACAGTTTGAAGAGTTTCGTTTCTAGTTTGAAAGTGGAATTAAATATAAATTAACAGTCAACAGGCTAGGTAAGTAATGAAACGTCATCGATCCAAGTCATAACTAACACGTTCACTGCGCCATCATTTTTAAAGAACTTTCAGCTGGTGCGTTGGAGACCTAAAAGATCTCGTAACAAGCCTATCCTCTGGTGCGTTTGAGACCTAATCAGTCTCCTAAAAATACACTTTTGAAAATAATTTATATCTTCCAAAAAACAATGACATATATTTCGAATTTTTTGTGGGTGAAAGATAGCAAATTGCTTTATATTTTGCTAGGTTCGCACGCAGTTACGACATTTGAATAAACTACAAATACCAAAAAAAAATTAGATATCGATTGTATCTCGTACCGCACCCGAAGATAGTTCAATATGTGTAGTAAGTAGTGATGGGAATAAAATAATATCTCAGTTATCGATTCTAAAAGTTTTATTAATTATGCAAAGTGTTTTTCATTAAAACATGGTAAGCACATTGATTGCTTGCACATTACGCGCAAATGGTCACAATTCGTTTAGTTTTTTTAGAAGCGTCAGTGCTGTTTAACTGCGTGTGCTCCAACGAAAAAGGTTCATCTTTAAATATTTCATAGTCAGAACCACTGTCATTATTAGTCAATGGGGCGCAAATTTGAACATTATCCAAAACAAATATTTTACTGGACGATGCAGCAGTATAATCATTACGGCGTTGATTTTTTGTTAGAAACCTCACCAATAAAATATATTTTTACACTTTTTTCTTTTAAACTTAATCACTCATTGTTTATAAAAAATAATCAACACGCTGGTATATACGCGAGTGTTATTTCCAAAACGTGCCCGGAACTTCCCGAATGTCGATTCTAGGACAACACTAAAAATCCCATCCTCCATCTCTTGCGTCTACGAGGCGTACGATTTCACGAGTACCGACATATCTCCTAACGCAAGGAATTAAAACAATTACAATACTGTGCGTTAGGGACCTAATCCATCTCTAATTTATTTTTTAATGTCCTTGAATTCAGCTTTAAGTAGGAAGTAAATATGTATATTTGTCCTGCTCATCCTTAAAGAACTTTACAAGTTACATCCTCCCGCAAGGAGTGAAAAAACACGATTATGTTCAACGCACAATACAAAAGTCCTGCAAGAGATCTGATAGATCTCGTAATGCAAGGAACGTGTTAATTTAGTATTTTTTTGGTATCCTTTTATATTCTGGTATTTTTTGGTACATTTAAACTTTCAACATTTTAAAACACATTTTGATATATTTTTGGGCTTGGCGGGAAACACTCACTTCCATTCGTTCGTATTTCGTTGACATGTTTTTGTCTTTGTCTGATGTTTACCGCTAATGTATCATTTTGTCTCTTTCGAACGATTAATGCTAATGGGGCATCCACACGCTGGCTGTTTGTCACAAACACCGCAAAAAGCAAACGAAGTCCCAAACACCAACCACAATCACCCAACACAAACAGCCATCCACATGCTTGGCGAACGTTCATAACATTCCGAATCGGCAAACATGGCGGACGACAAGCTTGTTGCAGCTATTACTTTCGGGTTGACATATTTTTATTATAAATTAAAGCAAGAGAAAGAAAAAAGGAAAAAAATAAGAAAGCAAAGACGATGGTGGATGATTAAAATACATAGAAAGCGTACAAGGCTTTAGACCTATTATTTGAGCTTTACTTTGCCGTGTTTTTTTTTAAATTTACTTAAAAGTTACTTAAAAATGTCAGAATCGTACATGCTCCAATCAGACATTTTTTACGCTTTGCGCGCCAACGAAAGTGTAGCAAGTAAATACGTCCGCCTCCCGCAAGCTCGCGCGCATACTGATCGCTGCCAAACGTGTGGATACGTAGCAAACTGTTTGCCAAACATCCTTTGATCTGGCAACTAAAACCGACACCGATGCCGAACACTGCCCAACACAAACACAAACAGGCAAACAACGACGAACACCCATCCACACGTTCGTGTATGCTGATTGCTGTTGGCTGTTTGCCATTGTTTGTCAAGCGTGTGGATGGGGCTTAACAAATTCGCGAATCGTGCTTTAGCTACGTATTACTATCTACGTTACATGCTGTATTTTTATACATGAGGTCCCTTTTGGGACCACGGATGTTTTAGTTCTTTATTTATTTCTCTCTGTGTGCATGTGTAGTGAAGATAATGAAGCGCAAATACGATCAGAAATATAGATCTGAGTGGAAACAAAATTCTGAATTTTCGTCATGGTTGACAAAAGATAAAAATAATGAGAACGCCTTGTATAAAACGTGTGGAGAAAATTTTTTAAGCAGAATCGCTACAATTAAAAGTCATGCATATTCTGAAAAACATCGATAGAAACTTATACATTATAGTGGACAATCCAAGGTAAGAAAGCTATGCCCCCATTAACATATTTATAAGATTATTGTGTCCCTTATTTTTTATGGCACATGAATTAATTGTCCTACTTCTACAGGATGTCCGATGAATCTTGGATAGTACATGTACAGTTGTACACACATGTATAATTGATTTAAATTCATCAAATTAATCAAATCCTGTTTATTTTCAGAACGATGATAAATTACTTCAAAGGAACCATATCTGAAGAAGTAAGAAAAGCAGAGCTTATATTTTATGCAGCGTTGGCAGAACATACCATCTCGGGCCATGGATCATCTCAGCGATTTATTCAGCAAAATGTTTTATGATTCGGAAATCGCAAAGGCCTTTCCTGCAAACGCACTAAATCTGCTCAGTTAGCTCAGTGCAGCGAATACTGACTTAGTATTTGTAATAAAACTTATTGTAAATATTTATTATTATTTGAATATGTCTGTATAATGAAGGTGTGTAATTGGTAAAATTAAAAAGTAACTGATAATAAGTGTTTTAATAAAAAAAATCCTCTTTTTCTTTTAGTATATTTTTAGTATAATTCAGCATGTGTTTTGGTATTATTTAGTACTGGCACCTTGTAGTTTTGGTAGATCGCCATTTTTTAAAACGGTCACACTGAAAATCACACTTGACCAAGTAAATAGTCAAACAGGGAATCAGATGGTTGTCATTGTCATATTAGGTTTTACTTATAGGCTTTAGGTTAGGTTTTATTATTTACAAAAAGTAATAGTCAATTTCGAATTCAATATCGCATTAATACATATATAATTTGTTGTTAGCTATAAGAAAAGAAATTATTATAATTTCTGATTAATTAATATTTTATTTATATTATAAGCTGTTTGCAAAATACTACTTAAAATGAAGAAAGAAGGTAGGTAAATCTTTATGTCTGCACCTTATTAGAGATACTTACTACTGCATGAATGAACTTAATTTGAAATTTAATGATCTATTTCAGAAGTCCAAGAAATCTTTCTTAAAATCCTTCGTGAAGAAGAGGATGTATCTGTTGGAGTTGCAGCAATTAAAACATTATTAACAGTCATAGAGAACTATAAAGGTTAGTTAGAAATCCAACATATTGTAGTGGCTAAAAATACTAGATGATATACATTCAGCGAATATTGGTGAAGTTCTATGTTCCCAAAAGCCGAGTAATATTTCCATGTTCCTTTTACTTTCTCTTTTCTTGTAAGCTCTCTGTCCCACCTCACCCCCCAATGTAAACTTATCCAATAAGTAGTCTAGCTCCTAAAAAACAGAAAACAATCTGATAAAACTTTTGAGTTGGACCCAATATTTTTTTTTTTAGTAGTACTAAATAATAGAAAATAATATTTTGACGTAAATTATGTTCATGTACATTGATTTATCAACTGTTTCAGTGGCCACAGTAAGAGAATTAGATTTGAACCTGCAACTAGCAGTGGATGCAATGAGACATTGTGATCAGCCTGTAACTGCTATATCATCAGGATGTGAGCTCTTCATGCGCTTTATTACATTTGCTAAATTAGATGTTAAGGTGAGAAATTTAAGGTTTTAAGTAATCCTTATTCTACACACATTAGAATTCTAGCTACAGTTAAGATTACTTATTATTGCTATGACAAGGATGAGTTTTAATATAGTGAGTGTTAATTCAGTCATTGCCACTATTCTTGGGTGCATCCTGGAAAAACATAAGTATAAGAGCTGAGGTAGATGATGACTTACATGGTCAGTATTGGTTTAAACCCAACCATGTAAGTTAATGAAACCTGATAATTTAGCTAGCCTTAACTTTCTGAACATATTTTACAAATGTAAGTCTCTTCTGCACTGCACTCACTTTAATTCAAATTTCATGTTCATGCATATTTACTACCTTTCTTCTTCACTATTACTATAAAATTAATAAATTTAAAACCACTCTTTTGATAATTTTTTGTTATTGAATATAATTCTACAAATTTTTCAGTCATTTGAAGAATGTGAGCAGATAATGTTACAGCGTGGTAGAGTATTTCTAGATACATTGCTTGAAGCCAGAGGAAAAGTAGCAAAGGAAGCATTGCCATTCATTAGTGATGGTTGTGTAAGTAAACATTTATTTTTCTAGTTTTGATAGGATTTTAGGTGTGATAACAATTTTACAAAATAACACATTTCCTACATTACATACACACAATATACTATAGACTATTTATTTAAAATATATTATTAAAACCATTCTGGATCCAATTAGGGATCAAAACAATTTTATATGGCCAGGTCAAGAATTTTAGAAGCATTGAAATGGTTTTAATAAATCTGTTCATTTTAGAAAATACTTACTCATTCTCGATCCCGAGTGGTACTAGCTGCAATGCTGGAAGCTGTAAAGGCAAATAAAAGATTCCAGGTCTTTGTTACATCTTCTTGTCCTGACAATAGTGGGTTAGTAATAAATCATATGAGATTATCTATGTACATAGAAAGTAACAGTTCAAAGCTAGAAAGGGTTATATTTATTCAATTAATGTATTATTGTATTATGTATGATTTTTGTATCAATTACAAAATCACTACAGAAATTGTAAACTTGGTTTTTAATGAAATTTTAGTAATTATCACATTTTAAGTAAGTCATTACAATTAACAGTATGTATTCCCACTTAGGTCAACTCTGGGATTTAGTCTGTTTCCACTTAATTATCGGTTCAGCATCTGACCAGGCATCAACCAATCAAATATACTTGACTGTACCGTTTAAAAAGTAATCTATATTCCAGGGAACGAATGCACAAAGAGTTAGTAGCGGCTGGTATTGAAGCAACACTCATTCTCGATTCGGCTCTAGGATACATCATGGAACAAGTTGATATTGTGATGATTGGTGCTGAAGGCGTCACTGAGAGTGGTGGAATTATTAATAAGGTAATTTTTTCAATCGAAAAATGTTTTTCAAGACGGCGAACCATAAAATGTCCTTCTAATAACACATTTACAGTTGGGACTTACTAATTTCGGTACCTATCCCTATGTCTACCTAATCTACTAATTTTTAGATTACTGGTAGAATTTAAATTTAATTTACACAATTAATTAAGAAATCTTCTTAAATTGTCCGCTATGGACTCCTAAACTACCGAACCGATATAAATCAAATTTGCACACCGTGTTTTGCAGTTTGATCTAACTTAAAAGATAGGATAGCTTACATCTCAATTTATACCCGCAATATTATTTTATTGAAAATATTTGTTTATTATTTGATACAATTCTAACAGATGGCGCTGTGTTAAAAGTATCAACGTTTCACATAAGCATTCTACCTTTCACATAAGTTCTCCTACCGTTTCCCTTGAATAGTTTTCTACCATGTAATATAACAAAAACCTTAGCCACAGCAACGCTTGGCCGGTCTGCTAGTATAATATAAAATTTTATACATCACAAGTAGGTATATATAGTATATTTCTTTATATATTTCTGACGTGATTCAATTTTTGCAGCCATTTCTATAGCAAATTTATACAGATGATACCCAATAGTAATTTTGTAATAGTAGGATTGTTTCTGTGTATGTATGTATGTATGTATAATGAGTTATGAAATCTTAATAGAAAACCTTTTAGAAACAATGTTGTTTTTTCCAGATTGGAACTTATTGCTTAGCAATGTCGGCTTTAGAACTTAAAAAGCCAGTCTATGTTCTGACTGAAAGTTTTAAATTCTCAAGAATATATCCCCTGAACCAACAAGATCTGCCCAACGAATTTAAGTATCTGTCAAGTGTTATCGCATCTGGCGACTTGTCAAAACAACACCCGATGGTCGACTATACACCTCCTTCGTATATAACATTACTCTTTACTGACTTGGGTATTCTTACACCCTCGGCAGTTAGTGACGAATTAATAAAGTTGTATTTGTAAATAAAGTTTATAATTATAGTTTTGTTTTATTATCTACATTTGTTAATTTTAGCCTCATCAAATGATCTGAGAAATAATGTATGGAAACTTAGTTTGATCGTCCGTGCCGATTTTTCAGTTTCCTGCTTTTGTTATTAATGAACATTCTACCGATGGACGAAATTTTTGCCTGCAAAAGATGAATATAAACTCTCACAAAAAAAAGGCAACTTAGGAAATTTTCATTTAAGAAATTGAAACGTCTGACATAGTATGTATACTTATAATCGTGTATTAGTACCCATGAAGTTAATTCTGGCATTTTTTTTTAATTCTTAAAAACCGATGTACCTACACAGCCAAACAAGAAGTAGTAGGCAATAAACAAAAGATTGTTTTACTTTTTTTAATTAAATAAAGGTGTAATGAAAATACCTAATAACGATATCAGTGGCCGTGGACATCGGTTTTAAAGAATTAAAAAAGTATATAAAAAAATTGCCACAATTCACCGCACGCCTTGTCATTTAACTAAATTCGATGTTAGAACGTAAATTTCCTTAGGTGCCCGTTTTTGGGTTCCGAGGATTTCTGCACCTTTATTAGCCACAGCCTCGCATTCCAGGACTAAGTGGGTGACTGATTCCTCTGCGCTGAAACAGCCTCTGCATAAGGGGCTGTCTGTCGCGCCTAGGACAAGATGTTTATTAAGGAGACAATGACCCGTAATTGTCCCTATCAGAGACAATGACCCGTAATTGTCCCTATCATTGTTTTAGGATTGATTCTATTTAAGCTTAGAAGTCGCTTTGTCAGTTGCGGGTTTACTGCTAGCAGAGCCATTTTGGACTGTTTGCAGTCCGCACTACGCGACCATCGTTGATGCTGGAGTTCAGCGGATTTCTGGCGAATCCAGGTTTGCACTAACGAGAAAGGCAAGGGGAGGATCGGATACGGGCCATCAGGCATCATTCCAGAGCCTCTTCTCGCAAGCTCGTCAGCAGCATCATTGCCGAGAGAACCACTGTGTCCCTTTATCCACAGCAAGGTAACCCTATTGATTAGAGTTATGGCCTCCAGTGCTTCGTAACACTCCAGTATTAGTTTGCTGTTTGTTTTTTTGTTTCCGAGCGCCATCAGCACGGATGCACTGTCGGATACAAACTTAATGCAAAACTCATTAATTCCTAACGTGCAAAAGCGGTAATATTTATAAATAATTACGTCTAATAAAATTGTTGTTTAGAACTTTAAAAACTTGATTTTTACTTACATTCAAATTGATTAGCAACACAGCTGATTTTACAAATTAAATAATGGAACTATACCTCCATGGAATTACCACTGAATCTCTGAATTTCGCTACGGTTTTCGTCGAATTTAATTAGAACGAAAAATGTGTAAATAAAAGAACAAACTCCAAAAATCAGGCACTTTATTGTAAAATAATATTGTAATACTTACCTATGTACAAACATACTTGTTACCTACGTTATCTCACAAAGTAAACGAATCTACACTTCACATGAGAATAACGCGATCTATCAAAATAATGGAAGCACGAACACAATATCACAAAAATTTTGAAACTAAACAAAATGTCGGAAGACAAACATTGCCACTTAAACTACAACTAAATTTATTTACAAGTAAAATAATTGTACTTAGCGGAGTATTTTATTAAAAATATTAAGGATAAAAGTTCCTTTGGATTAACAAACTCATAAAAAATAAAATAATATCGGATAAACGGATCAAGAGATCAATTATATTTAAAATTTAAGTTTATTGCAAAATTCATGTCAGTAATTGTTGATAATACAATATTTGGTCACACATACAATAATACACGTAAAATACTGATTCGTATGTAATACCTAACATCATTATAAATCGTCGAAGCTCTAAAAATACGTATGGATGATTTATTGAGTCATAACTCTTATTTAATATTCAAATTTACTCAAAACTAGTCTCCTCATTAATTACGTTCACTTAGGTAAATATTTTCTACTTATCCGTCAATTTCAACAAATATTATTTACGATTGTTGTAAAAATATATGAATTCAAAAAATATTGCAGATCAAACATTAAAATTATTTTCTCTTACATAAGTATTGTCACATTGTATGAATAAAAATATGAAGGAATTATAAAAAGAAAAATATTGAAAAATTATCTGTTATAAATATTATCAATATTTGTGTATATCTGGTTGAAATGTGGTCGTTTTTCGGGCTCGTATTCCCAGCAACGCAGCATCAGGGCGTAGACTTCTTCAGGGCAGCTTTCCGGGGCGGGCATACGGTAGCCTAAGAGCATTGAATATATAGCATTAGAGTTACACAACTTAATGTCTTGGTATTTAGACCTTTATAATAGTGACTATCACTGGAGACGGTCTGGAAGGATATTTAAAAATCCACATAATTTAATTAACAAGTTCCTTTTCCAATTAACAAGTTTCCTTAGACATAAATGTTCTACATATTAAAGAACAAACCTTGATCAATTTTCTCCCGCGCTCTGGAATTACTCATCCCAGCGTATGGAGTGTCGCCTTTTGAGAATATCTCCCAAATCAGTACACCATAACTCCATACATCGCAGAGTGATGTGTATTTACCTATAAAAATTAACAATTTAAATAATACATTACATTAAATATATATAAAACTAGCAGACCGGCCAAGCGTTGCTGTGGCTAAGGTTTTTATTATATTACATAGTAGCAAACTATTCAAGGGAAACGGTAGGAGAACACCAGTCATGGGGACCACCATGCTTTTTTGGTGGTTATGTCATTAAATTGTAGCTTATGTGAAACGTTGCTACTTTCAACTTTAGAATTGTGGCTATTAAATATTAAACAAATATTTTGCAATTAAATAATATTGCGGGTATAAATTGAGATGTAAGCTATCCTATCTTTTAAGTTGGATCAAACTACACACGGTGTGCAAATTTGATTGAAATCGGTTCGGTAGTTTAGGAGTCCATTATGTCATTTAGTCCATAGCGGACAAACAACGTGACACGTAATTTATATATATTAAGATTAAAAGATTAACTATATAGTATATTGTAGCATCAAGGTGACAAGACCTATATGAACAAAACTACAGTCCATCACACATTATAATAATAATAAAAAAGCCTTTTATTTCGGATACTTTACATTTATATTACTATCTTCTATTCATTTGTAGGTATCTGTGCGCCCTTTTTTGCATAAATCTGATGCATTTGTCCCCCCTTGCCCCGTCGGACTATATTCATACATGATAATAAAGGTGATTTTAAAGAAAAGTAAATAAATGCAATGAAAGAAATACAAAAAATTGAGGCCCAACCTAGAAAGATTGTAGCGTCACTGATTTCTATTTTATACACAATCGTCAATTAATTTGTACTTGTGTTGATGACGTATTAAAATGGGACAAGAATGGCTAAAAATGTTTACTGCACCAGCTGATGGTCTTCTCACCATTCGAACAGATTATTGTTTTCGCATTATTATTATTATTCAAACCAACTTCTAGTTAAATTTGGTCCGTCATAGTAGAAGTTTATTTTAAATGTTTTTATAAAAGTTCATGTATGATGGATCCCCCCCCACACAGATGCAGCTAAATGTTCATGAAAAAAACTACCTATTCATGAAAAAAAATGCAGCTTTAATTTTTACTACTTTCTCAACCTCCCACGGGAATTTCCACCGAGGTACCCCGGCAGCTGACGCTTGAATAATCCATTAGTCATACAATTTTTTTTATCCTTAATATTGGCATTTGATCGGCTATAAAACACCAAAACCGTAACCCTACCTCCCGGACTATAAGGTTGTATTTGTCTGCTAAAAATATAGACAATAAGTGTAACTCCAAATGCGTTTCAGTAGGTCAATATGAGCGCAAATATTTCCTTACTTCAAATTCTCACGAAAAGTATGCCACAATTAACATAACAATTAAGCAGTTATGTAAATGCGGAAACAATGTAAGAGTCGTTTACATATTAAATTGTCGAAGCACTGAATTATGTAAATGTTATTATGAACATCTTGCGCTAAAATAACTTGCAATATTCCTATTTCACTTTGAAATCTGGCGACTCCAAGGGATTCAGCGTCGAGACTTAGCGCGAACTCACATATGTCAAAATCTGGTCTTAAGTTTTTTAGTTTACTGTTTATTTGTTTTTATTTAGAAATATTAATAAATGGTTTTAAGTAATCGTATTTTTTTTTAAATTTCTCACAATCAAAACTTATGTGGAGAGTTTTTGTGTAAACATGACATTTTAAAATTAAGTAATAAAATCAAACATGTTTATTTATTTTTCTTCTTTTCTTTATGTAATGTAAGAAAAATTACAATTACATTATATCTATGTAGTGTGTACTTATGTATTTTCTCTGTGTCTGAATGTGTATATTACCTTCAGAATAATTAGCATCAGATGCCTCCAGCCCATATACCCTTTTATGAACATTAGATGTGATCACAATTTTAACTGTTAACTCAGTCATAGCATGGCATAACTCATTACTTGCGAAATAAAGTATCCACCACAAAAAATATACATTTAAACCAGCAGTTCCCGAGATTACCGTCTTCAAATTTTTCAGCACTAGCCAAAATCTAGTACGAGTAAAAAGCCATATAAAAATAATTACCGAAATTCAAAGCCTCGGGCGCGGTCCACTTAATAGGTATTTGCTTCATCCCACCAGACACGATATATTCCTCTTCCTCCCTGGACATCCCGAAGTCTGATATCTTAACGCTATTGTCATCAGCAATCAAACAGTTCCTGGCAGCCAGGTCACGATGGATACAACTTTTGGACTCCAAATATCTCATTCCAGCTGCCGCATCACGGCACATGGCCAAAAGAGACCTGGAGTTTAGGTTCTGAGCCCTGGTTCGGAGGAAGGTTAGGAGGGATCCACCTGGAATTGAAAAAAGTAGTAAAAATTTAATAGATCAATTCATATGCTCATTTTGTTAAATCGGCTTTCCATAACTCATTTATAATCTTGGTGAAGTAAACAATATAATAGATAAGAAAATAATTGTCATGAAATCTCTTTTGTTTCCAAAATGCTACTATATAATTAAAATAGTTATGTTATTAACTTATTTTATACCTATAATAAAGCAAATTTTAAAGAAACTCCTACGAAAAAATATCTCTCCACGTTTAGAGTGATGGCCACGTCACGACGCCGGCGACTTTTTAGATTTGGTAGATCAGTCAAAGACGTGTTTTTTTTTAATATGAAGAATATCTTCCAAGGGCAAAAAATATTTTGTTCATATTCACCTGATACAAGCTCCATAACAATCATGATAGGCTGTTTCTGAACCGCGATCCCAATAAGCCGCACAATGTTGGGATGCTGGTATTGCTTGAGGATCCGTCCTTCTTGCAGAAAGGTTCGCTTCTGTTCCTCTGGTAAGGCAACCCTACAGGTCTTCACTGCTACTTCTTGTCCGGTAGTTATAAGACGCGCTTTGTACACGTCCCCAAAGTTACCCTAAAGAATAGACTAGCTGTACTTTGTTGTTTTGCTAACGTTAAATCGGCGGTAGACCTAAATAAGTGGACTTTGAACAGAAACTATTTGGTAATAAAATAAACTAGATACGAACCCCCTTATGCAGTGTTTCCCAACGTGGGGTCCTCGCCTCATAGGGGGCAATTTGAGTGCTAGGCGGAGATATTTGAATGTTTTTTTTAATTGGAATTTCAACTTACAGTGTTTCGTTTTTTATATTAAACATTATGTATGTTACATGCATAAGGGCGGGGCTCAAGAATTTTAGAAAGGCTAACGTGGTAACGTAAAAAAGGTTGGGAAACACTACGCTAATGGCAGTATGAAACACACTATTCTCATCACCAAATATACAGTCTCATTAAAATTCGGTGCGTTTGGACGAGTGCTTCCGCAAAAAATGTGATACGAAATCTTTAAATATTTAATAGAAGTTTTATGAGAAAAAAAACAGTATATCCATACTGGGTTGGTATTTCGGTTGCATTGTGACTGGATTTATATTAATATTTTATGAAGGATTGTTGACACAATATGTGAACAGTCTGCATATAATTACTACATCTCTTGGAAGGAAACCTTCTTTAAACAAAAACCTTAACAGATTTTTAATTACAAAACATTGAACACACTTTTTCCAATTAAACTCAACTGTATACGTGCATTAAGTGTCACGAACCAAGAGGTCCATATTTTGATTTCTAGATTGAACTTACCCGTCCAATCTTATCTAGTAACTGCACATGGTCATTATTGAGTTCCCAGGTCTCCCGGGGCACAGCTCTTCGTAGGAGAGCTCCGGATCGTGCTGTTACCGGTACTCCACTTGCCCGCTGCCACGCTATCAGCTCCGCTACTGATGGAAACGCGGCGCCTTCAAATCTATAGTGACCCTGAAAATATAAAAATTAAGTTTAATACAAGCAGAAACAGTTAACATATTTTTAAGTCCCATAATAATAACCCCATAGCTCCTTTTTCCCCACGGAACAACATTCTTTTCAAATTCGTAAACATATAGCTGATCACCTTCTTAAAAAATATTCATGATAGAGATTTTTTTTTATAAAACAGGGGGCGGACGGCCAGGATTTAAAGTGATATGGACACTCACAATGCCAGAGGGCTCGCGAGTTCGTTGCTGGTCTTTTAAGAATTGGTACGCTCTTTTCTTGAAGGACTAAGAAGAAGAAATAGTGGTGGTGCGCGACTCAAACTGCCTTAAATAACGTTCAGTTGTGGAAAGGACTAAGAGGTGATACTGGAATTTCGTATTCTGCCTCGACGTCCGATGAAAATATAGAAACGTGTATGTAACATACCAATATTAAAATATTAAATAAAACTTCCTTAATGGCCACAAAACGCGAATTATTACATCTACATATCTCAATGTTTAGAATCAGCAATCATAAATTCAAAAAAATTTGTCTCACTCGTCCTACGAGTTATTACAATGATAACGTTATTTGTAGCAAGTACTTAGACTCAGGTGTGAGCTAATAAAACTCAGTTAGATATGTGCATTATATTATATTATATTTTTTTTTTATATTTAAGAATCTATATTTGAAAACTTCAACTTTGTCAAGAATTCTTTTGATTTAATAATACTAGTTAGTGTATCATTATACATGTAGCAGCTGGGTTAACAGGGTAATTTATAACAACACAACTTTCCTGGAATGGTTAACCACAAACTACGGAAAATCAGAATTATATTTATATTTAAATCTCTACAGAAATGTATCCTATTCTATGGTATATTGCAAAACTCATAATACAGATAAATAGTTTTTGTATAAATCCTTACCTCTGGTGTGGTCTGTACGATAAAATGCTTATGTTGTCCCCAACATACGGATAATACAAGTTGCCGCGCGTGGTTTCGCGTGGTTTCTCGTACTAGATAATCCCCATCATTTCTCAACAACCGCACGACTTCCTCTCTAGGCAACACTCCATGGAACCATTCCTGGTCTACCAGGGAGCGTTCAGTCTCGCTCGCACTCACCTGAAAGCATGGAATATCGATAAGGAGAGAGGCCGTTAAGTGTTACAGCGTGCGTGTGCTTGTGCGTTGGTTTTCGAATGCAAATTAGGTTTATCATACTTTGTAATATTGAAACAATTTCAATTCGTTTTCATAGAGACTTAACTCTTTTAAATAATAGAACCAAATTCAGTTAATAAACACGTCACAACACTTCATTAGTCATGCACACACAATATTCAGGAAGCTACATCAAACATCGACATACGATTTCCTTCTCGAGTTCCAATTGTAATTGCTTCAAATGCTTTTTCCTGCGCGGTATCAACACCGGCGGCGGATCACCATTCGTTATATACATCGCGAACTGATCCATTAAACCACTATTAAACTCCACTAAACATATTTTATATTTTGAAATAAAAAAATTGACGCAAAACGTGCGACGTCGCGTAAACAGATCATTTCTGGAACGTCTCCACGCGTCACCTTGATTTTAAATTTCACAGCGTACTGGTGCTATTTTAAATTTATTTGAAAGCTTATTCCGGTGCGAAGTTTGCGCGTGAGGTTTGGCTAAAATTAACGTGGTCTTTCGCAACGTGGGAGACGGTGCCCATGCGTACATGCCATGCGTCTAGACAATTATGCCGGTTGCACACGACGCTGGTAACGTATTCACTCAATCATAATTTTATGCATCTCGTAACTAAATTTCGAAACATTTATCAAAGAGCAGTCAAGTGGCATTTCAGTATGTATTACGACTATATTAGTCAGGACACCGCATAAAGGAAACATATGTCCCAGAAATTCTAGTTAAAAATTTCCCGAAAAGTCCGAAAAGCGTTGGGTACAACCGGCGGGCACTCACCAAACGACTACGACATTTACACACACGAATCTTTCTTCTATTGTTAAGACTCTCTTTACATCGCACATAAACATCACGCTTGCGAAAACGTCTTTTCAGAACGACCCGCTTCTTTCGAAGGGTGCGTATCAGCTTTACCGAGTCTGAGGGGCCCTCACTACTGCTTCTGTACGTTTTAGGAGGTAAAGCTGGACTGGAAGGCACAGACTTGCGTCTGAATGGCCGCGTAAACATTTTGAAGAAGGGTCTCGGTGGTATTATAGAATGCAGATGCAACCGCAACGCATCCATTGACGCTTTAGACCCGATTGATGCTCGATCCTGATGATAATTATATAATAAACAGATAGGCAATCTAATTGATAACATCTAAAGCCTCACTGAGACTCGAATTCTCAATAAATTCTTAGGAATTTTCACAACATAATTTATCAACTACGACTGTAACCTGATCAAGTTCCCAAAATTCGTACCTGATGGTCTGGTGAGCTGCCATCCAAACTATCAACTCCTACAGTTTCAGCGGAGAGATCAGGACAGCCACTCGGAGCCTCTTCACAACCCAATTCTGCGAGCGCTGAACGAATCATCTCCGCTTGTTTTGCGCATTTTCTTTCCGCAATCCGAAGTTCTAAGAGCTTTATTGGTTCAGACGTTGTTACTGGTAGTGGTGGGGGTGAATACCTGCGAATTTTAATACAAGTTATAAAAAAAGTGACGCACTTATAAACACTGGTAGGATAACATCAGGAGGAGTTGCTGTATTTAAAAATCTATTTTTTTATATAGGATTATATACTTCCAAATACAATCACGTCATCAGTAATTGCATCGCACGTAGCTAAGCTAATCCATTATATCTTTTTTTATATATATCAAAGAGCAGAGCAGTAATCAGTTTTAACGAAGCTAGATCACTCGTTCTGCTAATTCATAATTGCAGTCTTCTTAAATATTTTTTTATCAATCTTTTTTATTGTGTTACTGGCTGATAGTACTTGTATGGTTTTAGAATTAAGTTTTAAGCCACACATAACACGATTTAAAGTCATCTGAGTGCGTATAAAATATAAATTATAGCAAATTGGACAATATTCTAAAATCGTGATAGTAATTTAATTCAATTTGATGTACGGCAAGACTAAATTTAAGATCAAATATTTATACCTTAAAGTGCAGATAAACTTATAAATATTTTTTACCTATCAATTCCATTAACTCCATTGGACATGCCAGTATTATTGTTCTTACAAACACCGTTCCCAATAATCTCTGGCCCTTGAATCGCCGTCTGCTTCTCCCTATTATCTAGAAGCACGTTTTCCAGTTCTATCAATTTCTCCTTCAACCATTCTACTGTCAAATTGTCAACTGTCAACTGGTTTGGTTGGAGCTTCCCACTTGTGTCTTCTACCAGACTCTCGTCGAAGGTAAACGTAACTGATGATAAAGAGGGTGACCTGAAACAAATATTAATTATTGTATATAACCACTATATTCATTCAAATAAAAAATGCTGCACTAAATAAAGCACTGATAGTTTTTTTTAATCACAGCGTCAATATAATAGGGAGAAAGAATTCTACATAGTTACTTATTCTTACTTTAGAAAAACTACCATATTGTTGGAAAAATTAAGTATAGCTATCGCGGAATATGCTTAAAAGGAGTATTAAGAATATTCATAGAGCTAAATCACCTTCTTCATGTGGGGTGTCCACGTACCTTCAAGTACTGTATACCCTACCCTACAGCCCAATTGGGTATCAATTAGTTAAATGTATGTAATAATTTTAATTGATGTTTGAACCCTTTTGTATATTATATTATGTATTCCATCTTTGGCTATATATTTAGTATAATTGTTTTTTGTTATATAAATTTAAGTTAGTAGTAGGAGTAAGGAAATAGTTTTTAAGCACTCCTAAAAATATCATTAGGAAATAAACAATTTATAAGTCGATTTTATACGTAAGGTAAAAAAATACATACTTGTACTTTTCCATAAAGTCTTTGTACTCTTCCTGTGGCTTTAGATTTTGAACTGTGGTTTCTGTTTTACCCTGAATTTCCTTGAACTTGTCCGTACTAAAATCAGACCTCTGGACAACTTCTAATAAGATTCCCTTCCTGAAAACAAGAGTTCAAATTTAGTGCATAAGATATTGTTATATTGTTGTGTGTATAGAACATCATCTTTAACTAATCAAAAAGAATTGTTTTTTTTTACAAAATAATATTAAAAATTTCTATTGTCCATAAAGGGTTTAGGTAGTTACTAATTACTATTACATGTATTTCTTACCAAGAGGAAGCAGTGGCTTCTCCCTGCCGCCTCTGCTGGTCCAATATGGCAGGTAGGGCCGCAGTCCGCAGGGCTCTCTCGCATTCTGTAGCCTCAGCCAACAACAATACATACTCATTGTGGGCTCTGTGAAGCCTTCGACACGCTTTGCCGTATTTGTCCCGGGTTTCGTCCAATTTACGACCTCCTCTACTTGTTGGACCTGGAAATTACCAGCGTTATCAGTTCAAGAGAGTTTAATATTTATGGTTGAATTGCTGTTGGTTCACGCCGTATATTCGAGAAGATTTAGCTTTACCAGTATAGCAATAATGATACTGAATACTAAGAGCAGTATAAGCCTATTGGCCTGAAGTGGTGCGTGCGGCTGTGCACCAATGAATTATTCTTTACGCTGAAGGAAAACATCGACATGCTCCCACTGGACACATGTACGAGTATAACAAAGATATCGTCATGATCGTAGAACAATGTTGGATTTGAAAAAAAAACTAAATCCACTTTTTATGATATTTGGATACTACATTGACTACATATTACGGCTACATTAATAAAAAATCCATGTGTTTTAAATTTCAAATTAATAATTCGCTAAAGTGACGGATTTGATAGAAACATGTGATTTTTCTAGAAAACTGTGTAAGTAATTAAATGTTATTATTTTTATTTATTTTTTTGAAAACAAACCCCTTTGTTCGCTTGTATGCCAATTTTCATAATAACAGAATATGAATTAAAATAGTTATGACAAAAACTAAAATGGTTATATTATTTTGAAATGGCTGCCCTGTAAAGTTTCCTATTTGTCAGATCCGTCACTATTCTACGACTATGACGATATATGACAATATTACAACAACATTTTAAAATAACCTATTTTATCGTAAAAACCTTATCTAAGCTATATAAGCACACAGAACATCCTCGAAATATAAGAAAATCATAAATTCCACTACAGAGTGAACGACTCTGTGTAATAATAAATATAACAGTAGATTAACTTAACTAACGACGTTTCAATCTACGATGTTTAACTGTCTGTAATGTTTACTGTCTTAAGCCTTAATCGAACTCTGAGTACCAATTGTTCGCTATTTATATGCAGCATATGCGTATTGAAGATCCCAATAAATCAATACATCAGCCTTACAGGAAATATTTGCATTGAGATAGTACAAGTGTACATAGCTGGCATTGCAAAATGGCGCCGTAAAATTGGTAGGTGGCTGCTATCACGAGTTAATGTAATGACCGCCTCTGCTAAATACAGAGTAATCTCGAAAAGATGCTGGTATTAAAACACGAATAAGAAAATTCAATTTGAAATATATGTTTGTTGATTAATGTTGAGCACATTTAATAGAGAATTTTTCGAAATATAAAACGTTTATTTTTACTAATTTTGAAACGAAACTGTCCTGTATCACGCCTACACATGTAACCATGGTTACATACTACATAGGTTAACTAATTTCATAATGTAGATAAGTTGAATTAAAATACGATGTCTACGAAGACAGTAAGAACTTTTTGTTATATGGGTTTGTTAGAATATGTATATTTAGTTCCGAGATCCTTTTATTACCTCTACGACTTTTGCACAATATTTTGTACTTGTTAGTCTCAGAATAACATCCACGTACATTCTAACAGGGTTTAATACAAGATTCGTATGAGCTATAATACATTTTTATGACGATCAGGTCATTAAAAACTACGCGCTTTATAAAGTTTAGTCTACACTGACTAACACGCAGATATCATATTTCAGCCAACCAACACGTATTGACTAGTTTATAGACGTAAACATTTACAAAGTTCATAGCTTCAATAGCAACTGCGTAGGATGCACTTTGTTTAAACTGTTAAATTCATCAATGAAAAATTCCTTGAATTATCCAAGTTCCGCGTTAAAATTAAACAATCTGGGTACTGGTGTTAAATTAAATTAAACGTTTCTTAAACATTGTCATTTGTTAACGTGACGCCCCACATCCACCGATAGTGGGGAACTAGGTTAGGCTGTGATTACTATGGAATAGTGAATATTGTTTAACTGTGCCGAAGTTTTAATCCACCGACCTAACCTTATACCTATTAATATCTGTACATATTTTACCCTTTATTATCTGCAATTGAATTGCATACAAAAACGTCTGAAGTTTAGAAGTTACAGAACACCGGCGTTGGAGTGGAAGTACCCTTATTCATAAAAAAATTATCTAATTGTACTGTTTTAAATAAGGTAGTCTTTTCTTCACAGCGTAAACACAATTTGACAATTGCTTGCAATTAGACATGATTTAGTTTTTATAAAAATGAGGGTACTCCACCATAGAAGCAATCAAGTTTATGATGGCCTAAGACACCAATCTATAGGTGCAGAACCCACGACCAGTGAATCCACCATATCGCTCTGCTAATTGGGCAAACGAGCAGTCGGTGTCACTTTGAATAAAGCGATAAGCGTCTCCCAATGACACCTGCAACGCCTAGCGAGTGTGTTCCCAACCTTTCAGGGTATGCTCTTTTCTTGAAAGCCCTTAAGTCGTATCGGTTTGGAAATACCTCTACTGGCAGCTGGTATCACAAAGAGTCGGCAGAAAGAGCCTTAAAAAGCATAGTGCTGTTGAACGCCAGGCGTCGAGATGGAAAGGATGGAATTGCTTAAAAATATTATATTATTAAATGCTATATAAATACTTACATTTAAGATAATTCTCTTCAAACTTAGCACGCATCTGTTTGTATGATTCAAGACACTTTTGGTATTCACTCTGTTTCCGTTGTACTTCTTCGCTTAGCTGTGGACAAAAAACTTCATTAGTATACAATGAATTTAATCAATCTGTCAAAAGTCATTATTCGTAACATAGATATGACTTACGTCGATTTCTTTCGATAAAAAATTGTAATTTCTTATCTAAAGTAATTAATGTTTAACCTTAAATGGCAATTGTATTATGTCATTTACTATTTAGGTAAGATAATTCCATTGTTCAATTTAATTTAACAAAAAGTTATAAATGACGTCATTTAAATTCACGTAAATAATTTTCTTGTTGTGAAATTTGTTATTACTTAAAAAATATATTTAAAAAAAATGATGGTGTAATGATTATTATTTATAAAAATGCTTTAGTAGAACCCGGATGTGTCAATATTGATTGACGGATGAATAAATGCATAAGCAAATTTCTGTACTAAATAAATATTAGTCTAGTCGACAAGTTGAAAATGGAACAAAATAGAGATACTGCTCTTAAAATTATGTGCGATAGCTCATTCGAACCGGAATGACGCCTAGAAAAATGTGCTAAAAGCGTGTATTAGCACATAAAAAATTGCAAAAGTTATAGACCATTAAAGATGAAAAAAAATGGAATTTAGTTTTTTGCCAATATTTAATAAACTATTAATATTTAAGAAATTTCAAATAAAGATTCTGAAAGAGGAGGAAATTTCCAATAAAAAACTCTCAGCTCCCGGAACTCTATCTCCATTATTTATAACTTTAATTTAACGCTGAAAATAGGTCTGTGCGTGACATTTTTAGGATTCGCGCGTGGCGTCAAAAGCGACTACGGCACATTAATTAATTTATTTAAGGTATTGAATATTTTTTTTTAAATTTGAAAAAATTATGGTGTGTTCTGAACACTATAATTAATTTATTCCCGTTGGAAATTTTACTTAAAGTTAATTTTTCAACAAGTTAAATAATTGTTAACTAACGAAATTTTCTCGAACGACCGTCTTAATTGTAAGTGAAAAAAATGTTTTAATAATGGTCGTAAAAATATTTCGCTTCGTAGAGCCTTTCTTACATACATACTTAACAAGATCGTGCCATAAAAGTTAAAGAAATATTTATACTTTGTTTATAACAATTTTTTTACTTAAACAAAAACTTAAAAATCCAAGTAATGTTGTTAAAAATTTTTTTTTCTAAATCATCAAATTATCGTTTTTATATTAATACAAGATATTTATTGATTTGCAAAAAAAATTTCCCTCATTTGTTAATAATTTTTTTTAAACAAATTGATTAAATCAATTGTTTTAAAAAAAAATTTCTCAACTTTATTACATTACAAATATTATGATTGTTTAAAAAAAAAATTTCCTTAATAACATATTTTAATTGTTTATAATCGTTTTTTTATATTTCTTTTGTTTAAATAATTAGTTAAGAAATTTTTTTTTTTAAAAATCATAATTCACAATCCTCTATAAAGTAACAGAAAAAAATTTTTTTAATCAACAATTCTATTGTTTATTAACTTACCAATTTGTTATAAACAAATGTTCAACTTTTTATATTTTTTTTCTAAAACTTCTAAAATTAACAAAAACAACCATATATAACAAAATATAGAAAAACATTTTTTTAAATTTTTTGATTATCATGAATATTACTTTTATTAAAAAAATTTTTTTTTTTTTTTTTTATAGACTGTTATATATGGTTGTTTTTGTTAATTTTAGAAGTTTTAGAAAAAAATATAAAAAGTTGAACATTTGTTTATAACAAATTGGTAAGTTAATAAACAATAGAATTGTTGATTAAAAAAATTTTTTTCTGTTACTTTATAGAGGATTGTGAATTATGATTTTTAAAAAAAAAAATTTCTTAACTAATTATTTAAACAAAAGAAATATAAAAAAACGATTATAAACAATTAAAATATGTTATTAAGGAAATTTTTTTTTTAAACAATCATAATATTTGTAATGTAATAAAGTTGGAAATTTTTTTTTAAAAACAATTGATTTAATCAATTTGTTTAAAAAAAATTATTAACAATGGCGGAAATTTTTTTTTGCAAATCAATAAATATCTTGTATTAATATAAAAACGATAATTTGATGATTTAGAAAAAAAAAAAATTTTTTAACAACATTACTTGGATTTTTAAGTTTTTGTTTAAGTAAAAAAATTGTTATAAACAAAGTATAAATATTTCTTTAACTTTTATGGCACGATCTTGTTAAGTATGTATGTAAGAAAGGCTCTACGAAGCGAAATATTTTTACGACCATTATTAAAACATTTTTTTCACTTACAATTAAGACGGTCGTTCGAGAAAATTTCGTTAGTTAACAATTATTTAACTTGTTGAAAAATTAACTTTAAGTAAAATTTCCAACGGGAATAAATTAATTATAGTGTTCAGAACACACCATAATTTTTTCAAATTTAAAAAAAATATTCAATACCTTAAATAAATTAATTAATGTGCCGTAGTCGCTTTTGACGCCACGCGCGAATCCTAAAAATGTCACGCACAGACCTATTTTCAGCGTTAAATTAAAGTTATAAATAATGGAGATAGAGTTCCGGGAGCTGAGAGTTTTTTATTGGAAATTTCCTCCTCTTTCAGAATCTTTATTTGAAATTTCTTAAATATTAATAGTTTATTAAATATTGGCAAAAAACTAAATTCCATTTTTTTTTCATCTTTAATGGTCTATAACTTTTGCAATTTTTTATGTGCTAATACACGCTTTTAGCACATTTTTCTAGGCGTCATTCCGGTTCGAATGAGCTATCGCACATAATTTTAAGAGCAGTATCTCTATTTTGTTCCATTTTCAACTTTCTGTACTAAATTAATATTACGATATTTAATACACTTAATATTTCCAATATAAATAATAATAAAAATAAATCAGTGTCGCTACAACCTTTTGAAGTCTGGGCCTCAGATTTCTTTATCTGTTTCATGATCATTTGTCAATCTAATAGGCAAGTAAGTGATCAGCTTCCTGTGCCTGACACACGCCGTCGACTTTTTGGGTCTAAGGCAAGCCGGTTTCCTCACGATGTTTTCCTTCACCGTTCGAGCGAATGTTAAATGCGCACATAGAAAGAAAGTCCGGGATACAGCCGGGGATCGAACCAACGACCTCAGGGATGAGAGTCGCACGCCGTAGCCACTAGGCTAACACTGCTCTTAATATTTCCAATATTGTGTTTTATATTCGCGGAAAATCAGAAATTTAAATTATAAAACTGTCCTAACGTTTTAGAATTTTGTTGTAATTAATTAATAATAAATGTTTAATCTAATTATTACTTGAAACAATGTAATTTATAAACCCATTATCATTTCTAACACGGCATCGGTTAGTACGCGATTGTCATGTCAATGTTGAGCTAACGATTACATTGACAATATGAAAGTGATAGAAAAAATCACGTCTTGTGTGGGTGAATGGCATCAGATCACGTATTATTTTAAAATTAATATGCATATATAGAACCTATTGTTAGGCAAATAAGTACTATTTTCATTTAAGTGTTGGTTAGTAAGAAATTTTTACGAATTTAATTGGATTACCAGTACTATTTTTAAAAAGTGAGTTTATTCATTAGATATAAGTACATATGCATTACAATGTGTAAGATTTGGGAACCCTTTCAATAACAAAATACCAGTGTCAGGGTTCCCAACTCTTCATAACAAAGTTAATATTTATATAAGTACTTTTAATAACAATTTCTTAAATAAACTGTTTACAACAATAATAATAATTTATGCTAATTTTACAATAGTAGTAATTTTATATATTTATAAGATATACAAATAAAAATCTTGCACTTAATAAAATTTAATGATCGATTCGTTGAATTGATCATTTATTTCCAAAATGCCATATAATTGACAAAAGATTTAAAGCACTTTTCAAGTTTACGAATCAGAAGCAAGATCTTCTAATTATAAAACTCTACAATTGATCCTATTTTTACGCAGACAAAGCTACAAACGGCATGAAACTGAATACGAACATTTATAACAACGAAAACAATTCAAATTTAAACAGCCTTTAATAAAGTAAAGGTGTAAAGTAAATTTTTCACGGAATTCAATTGAACGAGCCGCCGAGGTCCATAAACTTTTATAGCACAAAGTATGAGCATAAAGCGTCATATATTTCTTCCAGCTTCGTGGTTTACCACTAAGTATAACTCCTACAATCTTACTGCTTTTCGTTAGTCGTGGAATTTAACAATGCATAGTTAGCTTTGTCACCAAACAATAATTCACCTGACGTAGTAGTTGTTACGTAAAGGCCTATTTGACAGTATAAAAATAAAGTGTTATTGAGAGTAATGTGTATAATACATGGCATTAAAAAGCGTTATGGAGTTAAATAACTTGTAAATAATCATAAATTTATCATAAAATCTATAATTAAAAATAATACTGTATTTTCAACGTTAGTCACTGTTGCGGCGCCATCTTGCCTAGAGTTTTTTATGGCAATAGTTTTGCCTAGAGTTTAGCGGGTTCTTGAATTTATGAACTTTTTTTTTTTTAATGGCTCTGGCACGATTTGTGCATTAGCCAGCGTCAAGTATAGGATTTTTTTTTATTTGCTTGTCTTTAGAAATTCGACCGTGTCCTTTATGTACGGTTTAAGCACTCGCCCGGTACCGCACAACCCTCCCAAAGGCCGAGAACAAATTTAAATTAAATTAAAACTTGCCCTCGAACCGGGAATCGAACCCGGTACCCCTCACCTAGCTGCCACTTAATAAGACCGCTAGGCTATGAGGCCCCCAATTTATGAACGTTTAATTTGAATTTTTAAAGACACAGATTATATAAACTACTTATTGTAAACAGATAAAATACGCATAATAACTAATAACAACAAGAGAAAGTAGGCTAAAAGCCATATCTGAATCTATTACGTAATCAGGTCTAGGTTCAGAAGTATCTAGATGTTCTAAACTTACAGACAGCGAAAAGTAAGAAAAGTAAAATAGGGTTTTCTTATTTTTTATTAAAAAGGT